TACTGTGATTGGTTAAACACGAGTCAGTATTACGCTGAAAAATAAAACTAATGACGAATTTTGTAAGCTTGTAGTTTCTGTTGCCAACTGAACTGTCCAACTATCATTAGTCGTTAATGTCAAAGATCCAAGCGTGAAATCGTTTGATTTATTTCTGTTCGCAGTGTAATTTGATGCCATTTTACATTTTTCCTGTGTGGGCTTAACTTCAAACACAGCGCCATCTACTACCTTCTTATAATGAATACAGTATAGTATATTTAAACATTTTATAATATATTTTGACTTAAATAACTTAAAATAAATTTGTATCTTTTTTAAATGTATTGTTAATGTTTCTATGCACACTTTCAAAAAGTGTTACTTATAAGTATTTCATTTCATTGGAATTGTGTGGATTGACATGGAGATGGGAGCTAATACGTGGACTGTAGTTCAGTTTGTTGAAAACCAAAACTGTGGAAGCCGTTCCCACTTCCTGGATTCACGGCGAATATTGTCATTGGCCACCCTACACGCAAGACAGAGTGTCTAATGTTATAAAAAAATGTGAAGGACTAAATACTTGTTGGCCTCGGCATTCCATAAAAATTTTTCGAAATGCGTGTGGTAAGACCTATACACTTTACTTTTAAGAAAATAATATGTTGATTTTTTTTCAGATCAATATGGAACTGCACGACAGAAAGCAAAACTAGCAGAAGTGTCCAGCGATCTAAACTCTGGAAATGAATCAAAAGAGAAAAGAAAGAGAAAGCGTATACAAAGAGTAGATTCCAGTTCATCCGATGATTCAACTCCAAAAAAAAAATCCAAACTACCATCACGTCCAAAAATGACAGTGCCACTATCACCAGATATAAAATACTTACTCGAACTACGAGTAAGTAACGAAATCTATTCTAGGTAATCAGTCACAAAATACTGATCAGTCTGATGTAGATGACTGTGAAATGCAAGAACCACCAAAACTGCCATGTAGTTTATCACATTCAAATGGTATTGACAAACAGTTCAGAAATCCAGGCTATTTAAATGTATTTTAGGTGATGAACCACGAAATATCACACAATCTTGTAAGAAATCCCGCAGGGATTTTGGGAAAACTCCTACTTCAGGCGATTTTTATGTAAATACAGCCACTACATCATGTGTTGCAGATTCACCCAAAGATGACGGAAGAAGCTGCTGTTTACAACGTGGTATGCTGTATAAGATAAATTTTGCAAAAAAGTGCTTGATTTTCGGGGGGTGCTATGTTAACGCTAGCACCACCATTGCGTCCGATCATTTCCAAAAGCAAGCGCTGTGTTCATCGAACCTAGCGCCACAAATTTTATAGCTAGCGCCACCCCCCAATAGTGCGGGGGGCAATTTTTCCTAGCAGCACCATTTTGTTTTTTCATGTAAAATTTTGACGTGGAGGTTCTAAGATGACTGAATAACCAGACTCATGGAGTGCTCTTTTCTGACATTCTAACATGTTTCGATGGCGACTGTATTTTTCTGTGTTCTTCTGACAAGATAAACCATGATGCCCAAACTTGTCCACATTGGCACCACATTTACAGATATGAACTGTAGCATCTAAGCGTAAAGCAACACTTATCTGCAAAACAGAATCTTCAAGATGCGTGGAGATTTGCCTGGCTGGATGAGCTTGTAATCAAGCGCCTGACTCTTTTTCTTTCAGTGCACAGCCTTGCTTGATGTACGGAATCGTTGACGAATTTATTGAACAATTGGTCAAATAACTTTTCAACCAAAGGAGTGTCCCATATCACTACTACTGCTACTACTATCAGAAAATAATTGCGTAAAAGCAAAGCACTGTTTTAGCACAGATTTTACATTAGACATTTGAGGTTATGTTGATGTTGCTCTGAGGTCAGTAGTTGGTAGCGTTCCGTGAATAGAACGTCACCACAAAAATACGGAGAATACTGCAACCACGCTTTCGGTAATATGGGTTTATTCATGGTAAGTGATCATATCTATTGTAGTAGTAGTCATTTATGCTAATTAGTTTAATATTTATATATGATTTTTGTTTTCAGGTGATAATAAATTCCCCCATGTTGACCTCTAAAGGAAAGCTACTTTTGAAGATATTGCCAGTGAATGGTTCCGTTTGACAGTGAAGGGCAGACCAAGAAAAATAAATATTTTGATATTCATACTTTTTAGATTTCTGTTTACTTGTAACATATATGTCTATGTAACATACCTATATGATAATAAATATATAAGATATATTTTTGTATATATATATACCATATACAGGGTGGTGCCTAGCGCAACGCAGCATAGGGATTTCAATGGTAATTTCTTTATAGTCAATTACTAGCTCCCCTAATTATTTTAGAGCAAAAATCTAAATACGTTTTTTTAGAGAAAAAAATACTGCATCTGTTCATACTTTTAGTTATAATTTTCCATTTTTCAAAACCGTAGAAATCGACAAAATAAAAAATTACATTTTTATAAATCAGTGATGCTTTGGAATCTTTTAACAAAACTACAATCGCATCGCATCTAAGTTATCGTTGTTTGACGTCGAACGATTTTTTTTCTCTAAAAAAAACATACTTAGACTTTTGCTCTAAAATAATTAGGGGAGCTAGTAATTGACTATAAAGAAATTACCATTGAAATCCCTATGCTGCGTCGCGCTAGGCACCACCCGGTATATCCCAAATGCATTATTAAAACATACCACTTATGTTAATAATGAAATATTATACAGGGTGTTTTTTTGGGAGCCTTAGTTAAACGTTTCTGGGAAAGTAAAATAGGTAAGTTTTTGAAAATTTGTACTTAGGAGTTACTCTGAAGGCCGAATCGAGGTAAAATATTTTCAAAATGGCCGCACTTCCGGAAATACCGGAAGTAGTTCGTAACTTCGTTATTTTAAATAGCAACCCCTATTTTTTTTTATTGGATTTTTGGATTCTACGTGAAATTTCAGTTCTTTTGATACCCATATGTCGATATCTGCCATTTATGGTATTTAAGTTATTTTGACTTTAAGAAAAAAAATGGCGGATGCAGATGGTACCTTGATAATCTATACTATCCTATATTGGAATTTTATTCTGTTGGGCAATAAATCGTATTATTATTATTATCTCTTTTGGCTGGATATTTTGAAAATATTCTGATTACTTATTAAATGTCTTGATTACTTTTCAAATATTTAACTCCTACAAATACAGAGTGGCGGAAAAGTATGGAATCAGCGAACTACAGCCTTAACCATTCATTATATTGAAAAAAAAATGTGAGATGAAAGTTGTTTGATACCTATATTATGCATATTTTGACGTACACGGATATTTTTTTCGAATTACGTCATTTCAAGTTATGTCATGTTGAGCATATTTTTTAAATTGAACACCCTATATTTTTTTTAGTTTTTTATGATCCTCTCTAGAGTCTAGACGAGGTGCTTCAAAATGGTAGGTATAGAGTTTTAACACTCGGAAGTTGTCAGATTTCAAGATATTTGAGTTTTTATATCAATAACTGGCTCATCAAAAATTACTCAATAACGTCTAAAGTGTCAGTTGTCAGTGTGTCAGTTTTAGTAAAATGGTTCATTTTAAGAGGGAATAACCTTTTTACTAAAACTGACACACTGACAAGTGACACTAGACGTTAATAAGTAATTTTTTATGAGCCAATTATTAATATAAAAACTCAAATATCTTGAAATCTGAGAACTTCAGAGTGTTAAAACCCTATACCATTTTGAAGCACTTCATCTAGAGGATCATAAAAAACTAAAAAAAATACAGGGTGTTCAATTTAAAAAATATGCTCAAGATGACATAACTTGATGACGTCATTCGAAAAAATATCCGGAACATGCATATAATATGAAACAACTTTCATCTCACACTTTTCAGGAAAATAAACAACTCAATTCCTCATAACTTTTTCAAGATAACCAATGGTTAAGGCTGTAACTCGCTGATTCCATACTTTTCCGCCATTCTGTATACATTAATTACTTACAAATACTGTTAAATATCAGATATTATAAATACTACTACAATAAAAAGAGACACCCCTAGCCCTACATTACAATATAAAACAAGATAATACAATCGTATAGCAACTATAGCACACTACAGAGAAATGAAAAAATTCAATATCTTAACACACACCACAAAATAATTGAGTAGAATTGTTTAAAAAAAATTCGATATCAAATTCTTCCAAAATTTGGAATAATAACAAAGTTGTGGACCCCCCTCCAAAGCGCACACTTTTCAAAAACCCCTCAGAGCTTGAGAATGTGTACACACATCAAGATGAGGGCTCTCATCCAGACATACCGTAAACTTCCTAAAACTGATCCATTTTTGGGACACCCTATACTTCATTGGTGGTGGTTGTAACATTGATTTCAGAATTTATTTTAAAAAATGAAATGAACTGCTGAACTAAATGCATTGTTAGAATTACTTGGAGTAACGGTGGAACAAAAAACAAACTATTAAGTAATACATACTTCATATATGCACAACTTGTGAGACCAACATAACACTTCAAATACCATTGTAATAATCAACAAATTTCTTTCTGAAGTTCTAATTTTATATGCACTGTTCAATATTTATAAATAATTCATATACATCAAAATTTACAAATTAAAACTATTTTTTAAATACTGAATATAAAGTTGTGGTATTTGTGCAACCTCAGGTGCATGCATCTTAGAATAGGTAATGTACTGTCTTCGTAACATCATTAATTGGGGAATCGTTACATTCACTACATTCAATCTCAAATTTTCATATCCCGGAATCTTAATTTCTCCCTTAGCTCCCATTGTTTTTGCTTTGACTATACTATCCGTGATCTCTTTTGTCACTTTGTCTAGGTCATAGAGAAAGTTTGTAGCACTCAAAGGTGCCTAAAAAATCATATAATAGCGACGCATGTGACGAACATTGCACAAATATCTTTGTTGAGTATAGGTAAATGCAACTTACGTTCTGAGTGGACTGGTTCGGAGCTGGAGGTTTCTTGTCAAGCAAACATTCGGCCATCGCTTGCAAATTCAAAGGGTCTGTGGGAAATGCCATAAATAACGGGGAATCCCATCTGTTTTTCGAATCGGGGTCTTCATACCGCATGACAAGTGCATCGAACACTTCGCGAGTGTACTTCTGCAATTCATCCGGTCGGTTTTCATTGAAGTCCCAAGCGACATCCCGGTTTATTTCCGTATGCACAGTGCACTGGGTACATTTATTAGCTTTCGCAGCACAGTACAGTTCATACCTGTAACCTACATAACAATAGTACAATAAAAAAACGAAACCCATTTCGCTACCTTTAATATAATTGCTGCCATCTAAGATAACAACCGAATTGGGCCCAAGAAGTTTCAACACTTCGGATTTAAGTAATCCCCGTATGTGTTTTTCCTTCGATGCATCTGTAAAGACAATTAGATCACACAAAACAATTCGATTCCTTACCTAGATAAACGGCATTCTTTTCAAATCCCGCTTTAACAATTTGTTCTTCTTCGCTGACGATTTCCACGTTTTTGTTGTTGTCAATAAAGAATTTCTCAATTTCTCTTACTCTGGTTGTTTTTCCACTAGAAGGAATGCCAGTTACAATTATTAAAGGCATTATCAAACAACTGAAAGAGGAGAATCACAAGTCACCATGCTGACGCTACTGAACAAAGAAAGAGGTTAGGTTTCGATTTCGAGTGCATTCAGCATAACTGTTTTACAGATTGGCGAATGTGACCACAAAGCAGTGTTGTCTACGTTTACGCCGTAACTTTCGATCGGAGTTAAGCTGTATTTATAGTTCCGTATCCACAACACCGTACCGTAACCTTTGGAATTAAACCCTACTTGTTGCGCATGAACATTTATAATTCGCGTTAACGTTGCGTTAGAACGGTTACGGTACGTAGGAAATGCCCAAATCTTATTTCTTACGGTAAATCGTGCTAACGCGCTTGTCTTCGGTAGTACTCGGATAATTCAAACAGTTGAGTTTAGCCTGAAGTTCGTTTCGTTTATTTACAATAATTATTGACACTTTGTCGGTTATTATTATTTTGAAATGCACGTTACTCTTACTGACAGATGACATGCAATGACAGAATTCGTTACGCGCTAATGCGCAAGCTGGCACTTGCCACTACGGAACTATAAATCGTATTATTTTCGTTAACGTAAGATTTTACGGTTCTGTTCATACGGTTACGGAACTATAAATCCGGCTTTATAGTAGGGAAGTAGCACCAAATGAAAACGTTGATAATAGCTCTTAAAAAAATATTTAAAAAAATCGCGAGCATTTGATAACTCCGTAAAAAACAATTATAATTAGTTGGTTGTAGTGTACTTAACCCCCAGGTTCTACGCTAACTTCACACTACAAGAACACGGAAATAAAGTAAAACAGGCAACGTTTAAAAATGGCCGCTCGAATAACTATTCCCTCTAAAGGGCCCCATTCACATGCGGATATGTACAAGGCGGATCTGTCCGCCGTACAGATCCGCCTTGAGACATACAGGCGGATACGAGGGCGGATATGTCTGTACACAGATCACGGACAAATCTCAATAGACGAGCAGGCGGCGTTCTCTCACTATTTCAGTTCTGTAGTGCTAGCCCCTGGGTTGTGTGGTTATGAGTGCTGTAGTAATTGCTATGGATCATAAGAAGAAACTGACAATAATTGCAGGATATATAGTTTTATGTGAAGATAGGAAACAGAAGAGATGTGGTCAAAACAGTGGTTCTTGAATCAAAAAAGTACTCTCATATGACTTTACTTAGAGATTTGGAAACGCCTCATGATTTGCACAATTTTTTGCGCATGGACAATGAGACATTTGAAACTTAATTAAAATATGTTCGCCCAGTTATTGAGAGGAATGATGGAATGATACCCATATGAGGCAGTTACCAGTAGAGAGCGATTAATTGCCACGATACAGTACTTAGCGACTTGAAGGAATTTTGAGGACCTACAATTCAGTTGTGCAATCTCCCCACAGCTTCTCGGGAAAATTATACCTGAAACTTTCAAATAAGCCACCTGCCTTGGCAGAATATGCTCGGAAATGGCATAAAATTATTTCATCAGTAGTTAGGTGTGATTGGTTGGTGGAGTAAGCACTATCATCTTTACCAGTATTTAAATTGTTCCCCAAAAATGCGCATTTTGTTCTGGAATGTTAATATCACCGTAGTCTTCAAATTTCACTATTAAAATATCACCAAAAGGTAACTGATCGGATTGTATTTGACTAACAGTTTCACCATTAGTGGTCATTGGACATTGGTCTTTCTTTGGTTCGGTGTTATTCCGCAATTTTGCTTGTAAAGTTACCCAAAAGATAATTCAAATCTGTAGCACAATTTGCGCCTACATTATATTCAAAAGTAAAAACAAAAGATTTTTTTAAATTACTGTTTAATTGGAGTAGGATTAATCGCATTTCCATTTTGATGTCTTTAATTTCCAAACATATTTTCAAGAAGTTCCTATTTTGTGATTCTATGTCCGGCAAACAAATCCGTGAAACGACTACACATGTGCGTATTTGTCGGGCTCGCTGTCCGTGCTATTATCTTTACGCACTTTAATTACTTTGATATGACAGACAAGAATATAAGCAAACACACTCTTTATTTGTAATGCAAGTACAAAACTAAAAACGACATCGTTATCTCAAAGCAAAAGGTACATCCTAACCACAGAACAAGTGAGCTTAACTACTTTCATTATATACAGGGTGTTCTACAAGTAAACATTGGATTACAATACTTATAATACGTGCTCGTCGTCCTGATCGACGGATGGCGAGCAAGATATGTACGCCGAACACGCGGATTCACACATACGAATTGATACGGATCTGTCCCGCGTACATGTCCGCCGTACATATCCGCATGTGAATGGCACCTTTAAAACTAAACAAGATCCCGCTTAAATTTGAAAAGTGGCACGTGATAAAACATCTAAGCCCTGGCCCCCTTACGTTAGTTGTAAGCCTGTTGAGGGCCTAGAACAAGAGGGACAATAAATAAATAAATAAATAAACGCTTTGATCTGAAGCACAGTAGGGAAGCAACGTTAAATAAAACACTAAAATTGTGAAAAGTTTGTTTAATAATGATCGTAATTATTATGATTGTGAAAACCCGGAAATTTAGTTGATGTACATTAATATAAACAAAACAAACAAACCCAAAAGGTGTCGTATTCTCGCAAGTCACTGCCAAGGGTAAAAAGAGTACGACGAAGAAAAATCTTGCAGTTTGATTAAAACAGTCCAAAAATTAATTAACAAAATATTTTGTAAAAGTTTAAACAGTAGTTAACAAAGATAGTAAATGCATATACACAATGTTGGTTACACTCAAGGTTAAAAGCAAGTTTTTGGGGACAATGGGTCAGGTAGTAGCAGGTACCAAGACTCTGAGAAAGGGTGAAATACACAGGATGTGACTCATCTTTGATGCAATAAAGTCCTTTTGTTGAAAGCAAGATGGAAAATTACATGTCCTTGTAGGCAAATTTGACTAAAAACAAGATATGTGGAAATTATTGAATCGACACTCATTTAACGCACATAGGTTCTAAACTGAAGAGCTTTGATTAGCGTAATCTCGCTCCTGCAAGATGGGTAGTCCGCCCCTGGTTTCGGGGTTTCGAACCTACAGTTGGATGTCGAAGACAATCACGGAATTAGGTGTGTCGTAACACAAATTTGACTACAGTTTTTACCACCCCCGTGACTGCTTCATTCACGGAGAAAATTGTTAGTAACATACAACAAGCCAGTACATACATCAAACGAATCAGTAATTAAACTTACATGAATGTTACTTCAGGGACAAGACCAAGTAGGTAATCAACATCAATAAACATAAATTAAGCAAACATTACACCAAAAATGTAAACAATTACAAATAATAACATAACGGTATCACACATATGATTCTGCATTGTGGTTAAACCAAGTAAATTTCAAAAACAGAGATTCAAACAACAAATATAAAATGCGGCATACAAAACTCAAATACGATATAAAGAAATGCAAAAATTACTACCTGCATTAAATAACACAAAATAATAACAAACATTTATGGAGCGACGCGTTCACGACCGCCATTCAAGGCAAGATGCTAAACGTAACTCCCGTTCGTGCTTTCGAGGTGGCGCAGGCAGCTTTTTCCCACCCAGAAATTGCATGGTTGCCAACTCTCAAAAATGTATGTATCGTCGTAAGTTGTATATACAGGGTGGAACCTCTCATGGTTTTGTACGAACTTTCGGTTGGATGAATGAAGCTCATTTTTTTTACAAAGTAATGGTAGGTACTGCCAATGACTTGACAGTGTTTCTTTTTTAAATTTTTTCTCTAATTGTGAGATTATCTTATTATTATAAGATATCTGATAATTAGAGAAAAAATTAAAGAAAAACACTGCCCTATTTATATATAACGTATACGTATGTATTCGTTATATACTGTTTGGTAGACCTAATTCTTAAAGATCGTCTGCCTTAGTCTAAAAGCATTTCAGATCGACTATAGTCTTCAAATATCTATTGATTATTTTTGATAAATGTCGTCCATCATATAGTAAGCAGCCTCTCATTTTAAAAGCCACCCGCCTCTTAGTTAAGTAACATGACCTGAGGCGGCAGACGGTTGACTTCCTAATACCCGTACTATACAAGGAGCAATGAAATTTGTAAGGTTAACCTGATGTTTATTTATTTATTAAAATTAATAAATTGATATATTTTACATACTTTATAGCAAATAATAAAAGCAAATAAAATTATAAATCTGTATTTGTTGGTTATTTTTATTGAAAGCTAAAAAATTACAAAATTAGTATAGGGGATATGAAAGCGCATTTCCACTTGCATTCATTTTCCATCTGCAAAATGCAACTTCTGTTAAAATCGTAAAAATCCGGCTACAAATATGAAAGATAGCGTTGCAAATTTCCAATCCATTTTTGACGTGCTACTTCAATTTCAGTTTATAAGAAGAATTTCATTTCAATGCTTTTCTAAATAAGAAAATTAGAACTGCGCATGCGCAAACCTAAATTTTGAAGCTAATGTTAGATTTTCCTTTGTTCCAAGCGCCTGAGTATCAAATTTCAATTAAATGCTTTCATAGATAAAAAAAGTTGGCACTGCGCAGGCGCAAAATAAGTTTTTGAAACTGGCGCTAGATTTTCCTTTATTCCAAGCACCTATGTATCAAATTTCATTTAAATACTTTTATAAGTAAAAAAGTTTGCAATTCGGTTTATAAATGGTCGAGATGCGAAAAGGGCACTGTGAATTTTGAATCGATTCGATTCAACTTTGGGCATTGCGTATTATATGGCTAAAGCTATGCCCATATTGAATTTCATGCAATTCAGTTAATAACTAACGGAGATGTAAAAGCGATCGGACATTATCTAAACAAAGTTATCGTTCACACGGACAGATAGAGGGACAGACAGACAAAGGAACAGACGGACAGACCAACAGACAGACGACAGACAGCAATACAAAATTATAAACAATCTCTAGGATCGTTAATAAACGGCAAAAGTGTAAAATTATGGAACATGTAAAAAACGGTTTTTTGTTTTTTTTACAATAACTTTTTTTGTAAGCGGTACAGAAAAAATTCCTTCCTTAGTGCAAGCCTCGACACCATAACGAACCAAATAGCGAAAAAAGTATAACAATAGCTCTTAAGATAAAGAACTAGTAGCGTCTCAAAACGAGCGGACGGACAAAGTGGCCACAATAGCGCATTTTTTTAATTTTTGTGGAAATGCGCTAAAAAAGTCCCACCATCAAATTGCTAGTTCCTTTATTACGGTATCCAGACGCGCATGCCATGGTTATCCTATTTAAGCGGCAAGTACCTACATATTGAATTTGATACAATAGAGGACATGCACATACATTAGGGCGGTCGTGAAACCTTTATACTAGTTTTATTTTAAGAACATCAATATTAATCAACATCAACAACGGATTAATTTATATCCAGTCTCAGAATGACACATTTCTGAGGATAGCAATTGCTTCTTATATTATTATAATATTATAACTATCATAAACATAATCCACTGCATAAATACACATGCATTCAATAAATTAAGAACAATTAACAATGCTGTAGTTCGATCAACTTGATCAACGGATCTAAATTTCCGGTATAAAGTCTCCACACCTTGGAAAATTTTTGGGAACCGGTGGAAAATCGGAGGGATCGCCAATTTGAAGTACTATCGACATACCAGTTAGCAGATGATTTAAAAAATGACAGTGAAATAACCAAAAACCGGGGCTATTTGCTCTAAACCTGATGACAACGTATCCATTATTGGGTACCGAGACGGTATCTTTAGAAGGTGGGTGGTCGTTTCCACTGTAAAGTTGATTGTTATCGTCCATAAGCATGACCTTTTCTAAACTGATGCTTTCGTTTACGTTGGATATCCTACCACTTCCAAGAATGTAAAAGGTGTGTCCGTGTAGATGAAATGGATGGACAAGGTGGGGTTGTTTCACTAAAAAAAAGCATATTATATAAAGGTCTAAAAACTCACGCCGAGTTACGTTGGTCTATCAGAATTAGCTCAATTACTCCGTTTAAGGGAAGTTTCAGCAAATGTGTGCATCTACACATGCCTTGGCAGTCCATCTTTAAGTTAGTACAGAACTGATTAGGATTTAGTTCGGCGAATTGCGATAGTAATGGGGATGGTGGTGGCACATAAGAAATGTTATTCATTAATCCGGCCATGTGATCGCCACCTAACGGTACTAAAATCCATTCACAATTAAATATTTCCGAAAATTCTATTCTTTACCAAAGAAATTGTTAAATTCATTCCGATTAAATAATTCTTCATCTTCGTAGGTGTAAAGGCTGAAAGGTAAAAACAGTTTGACATCCGGTTCCACTTTCAAAATCCCCTCATCAATCTGTTTTGCACTATGTAATTCACTTACACAAATTGCATTTTCTTGAGTTTCATCACAGTTTGAATCCAAAGAATGATATACCTAAGTGGTAAATGAAGATTTCGTGCACTAAAAAAGTGGTTTACCTTTCCTATAGGAAGCCAATTGCTAGTAACTGAGTTGGTTAAGCATTCGTCAATGTATTCCAATTTAGCCACCTGACTAATGCCTAGATCGGTGCACAGGCCAACTGCTTGAACCTCGATATCGTAATGTCCAGGTTCATTATCTGTATGAATGATAAAATCGTATCTTTCGCCTACAAATAAACTACAGAAAGCGTAAAATGCACCAACGGTGTAATACCAGAGGTTAAAATAATTCGATCGACCTGCACAGGTTGTAGGGGTTCACCGTCGCTAGCAATTACGGTTAAAGCGTGATTTTTTACGCGTACCTGAATTGGACAAGCTAATGAAATAGCGCCGATTAATCTAAATCTATATCTTCGTCCAGTGAAAACTTTAAATACCTCCAAGGCCGCTATGTTATTTTTAGCTTTGAAACCCTCATACACTCCTTTTCCATTGATAAGTATGTTGTCCGGTATTTGGCTCACGGCATGGCATGTGGACTTTAGGTGGGTTTCGTCAGGTTTCATGCATCCAGGATATCGATTACCGGCCAATTCGTGTATCCAGTCCTGCACGAACATTACATGTTCGCTAAGATCAAAATCGTACAACTTGCTGTGGGGGTCTACAGCCAAGGGTTGGCGTATTATAATGCTCCCAGTTAGACCATCCATCTTTTGAAATCCGGTATGAGAGTGCCAATAGTGCGTACCGGGGTGAGTGGCGGTCCAAGTGTACCTAAATTGGTATAGACTGAGTATAGTAATTATTTTTCAATAATTCTAACCGAAATGTGTTCCCTTGCAGTATGGGACATTGGGTAACGAAAGGGACTCCGTCATAATATTGGGTGCCATGGTGATATAAACCGTGCCAATGAATTGTTACGTCAGAACCTTCCAGGTGGTTTTCAACATCTATAACTACCTCATCGCCTTCACAGACTTCAATACTAGGCCCCGGAAGCCTACGATTTGCGACAGTAACACTCCTATCAACGCCATCGGCGATGATGCACTGGCAGTTATTTGTACCATTCGGAAAGCAGTAGTGACAAGCTCTACAATGAATGTTTAGTATCTTTAAATGCCGGAGCCGGGACCGGGAAGAAATACTCAACCTGGTTTGTGTGGCATACTGTTCCAAATAGAAGTTGTAGTAGCACCTCCTTTTCGACCCATCGCATGGTCTGGCACATTGTTCTGGTAACGAAAGATTGTTTTGAGTAATATAGTTTTGCAGTGCCACTTTTCGGTTGTCAAAATTTGCCGATATTACCGATCGAATATCTGTGGGATTGCTTATAGTTAAGTAAAACAAAATTAATCTGAGACCACCTCACCGCACAGAACCAACACTTGACATACAAGAAGAATAAGAAACGATAATGAGTAAAAGGTAATCATTTTAACGATACGCAGAGTCCACTATCGCGCAATATCCTCTTCCATAAAAAATGTCATTCCACTCCGTTAACTGCCAGACAATGACGACGGGGATCTTTTATATATTGAGATATCTACGTGTAAATATTTGTTATCGTATGTTTCGCGATGGGAGGAAAAAGGTTCTCCACATTGAACGGAAGACATTTTTTAGAGCATCTTGTCGGTCCCAAGCTCTAGCACAAATTGTTTGAAAGTTTTGGGTAATTTTGCTTAAATAATGGCAAACCTTAGCAATTTTAGGTGACTTTCTATGTGGAACTTCGGTTAAAAATAGACATCACCTACATATAGGTAATCATTTTCCCGGTATGAGTATAATTAGATAACACTATTAAATTCATCAGTACCTACTTGCATAGATACAATGGAAAAAAAATATTACTGTTCTGTCACCCAGGGAACAATAAGTAAATTACTTACTCAACGATGTGTAGGTATTAAAAAAAATTAGATATGTAGTGTAAAATAAGGGGAATACCTGGTACATACAATGAATCACTACCTTTAGTAATTTTGCATCCAGTAATAAAATTGTGCATTACCATTGAATAATACTTTATGTCCTCTACACATAACTTGCGAAACTTACCTACGCATAATTGGACTTATATATTTATTATATAGGTATAATTATAATTATCTTTACAATTACCTGTAGATACCTACATATTGTAATTACGACAGTTATATAGTATTTGTAGCTTTGCCGGTTTGTAGTAGGAATATCTACTTGTAAAGGTTCCCATCTCATTAATCACAATGGATAATAACCTTCTTTACGTTGGAATTGCTCGGGGCGTTCAGAAGCTATAGGTACATAAATTAGAAAAGGACAAGAACAATGTAAAGTAATTTAAATTTGAATATAAGAAGAAAACATAAAAAAGAACAAACAAAAAAGTTGAAGGTAACGTAAATTTAATTTAATACGTGGTTTATGTAAATGTTTATTTATATAAATTGTCCACAGGGATAAGACTATTAACAATAAATTTAATTAACAGTCCTGACAACGTTCTAGAAAATTCGCTACCCCCCTCCCCTCTTATAACTGTTGCGCCTCACTACACGGGCGACGGTTGTATCAGAGAGTCAGACAGTCCTAAGTGACGATACTATCACGTTATTTCGATAGCGAGAAGGGGAGTACGGAACATATGAGCGTAGAGAAGACACGAACCACCACTTTTGACTTGAAACTTAGCGCGACCGAAATGATGATTTGGTTGGTTAGGCTTCTGCTAAATACAATGACGCTACTGGACATCACAAATTTGATGATTTCCAATCCAAGAAAACCGTTACACTCTACAACATTCCTGAATGTGTAAAGGATGCTATTCCTCGTGGATTCATTGCGTCGAACACAATGAGTGGATTCGAAAACTCTGGAATACATCCATTTAACTCCAAAATATGTCAAAGAGAACAAATATTAGACATGTCAAATTTATGTCCACGAGCCACCCTCCAAGCCGATCTGGGGATGCGAAAGAACTAATGACTGGTTTCAGCCATTGTGGTCTACTATTCCGGATATAGTTGTGAAGAACTAATTACCTGTGACTGTAAAAAGAGGTGTACTATGTGCAACTGCGTCAGAAACGGTCTTCGGGTTCGGAATAGTTATTTGTGTACCAAGGCCGTAAAAGTGATCTTTTTTGGCCGAAGCTGCTGTTTGTGGCCGAGGCCGCAATTCAGATGAGGCCTAACAAATCACTTTTGGCCAAGGTGCACACAACATTTTTTAGGCGATCATCAAAAAAGAATTCAAAAATTTGCTCATAAACATATTTTTTCTGAAAATCATAGTTATCTTAGACAATTAAAAACAAAGCATTTCCTGTCATATGTAATAAATTATAATTAGCATCTTTGCGTGTGTTTTGTGCGTATCAAAATGGGTGATAGCGACAGTTCAGATACCCCAAATGAAATTTTGGAAGCTGCAAGCGTTGCGACCCTAAGTCATATATGATATAAGAGCAGGCGTTTGAGAGTAAAAGTACAATCGCAACTTCCTCCGTTGTACAAAATTTTAATAATGCAATAGGTCCTTCGTAACTGTGGCTTCCAAGACCTTATAGTTAACATGCTGTAGAATTATTAGAAACCTGATTACCTACTTTGATGGTAGGCATAATAGGCAGCTACTTGTGTTCTCGGTTAATTGCTGGTGATTCTTTGTATAATAATGTAAGCAATAACATCTTCCTCATGTTTTGGTTCTACACTTCAAAAAGGTCTGCAAGCAGCAAAGATTGAAACGTCAAACTATAATTTTAAATGTGAACATTGTGATTATGCAAAATAGTGTGAAACATTCCTACAAGTCCGAAAATGAAAAAAACGCACGTGGATGACCCAATCCTTGATGGGGCTAAACCAGATAGACGCTTTGTATCAAACAGATTACTGCTTCTCACACATCAGTTTCAAATAAGTAGGTACAGTTTGACAGATGTGTACAATAAAGTAAAGTTTGACAGAAGCGTACAATAAAGTTAAACTTTATGGCCGCAAAAGCGACCACAAAATCAACGTTTTTGTGATGATAGCCTAAAAAATAAGTTTTTTTTACAAACTGGCGTTTCGACTGGAATTTTGTCTGAAATGGTTTTGTTTACATCAGTGCAAATTTGTAGTTTTGGCTACCCAGAGGTATAATTTGTTTAGGGGGGTGCCATTTAGAATTTTCAAAAAATATGACATTTAGCGAAGGTCAATCAAAAATTTGATAAAAAAATTATGTGATTGTGGAAGCCTCATTTCAAAAATTAGCCACCTGCGCGATTTAGTGTAATTTCGAAAACCTGTTTTGAAAAAAAAAGGTTATAACAGCGAAATCGTTAAAGTTAGAGGTATAACATGTTACAGTACTTTTCAAGTACTCGCCAAATCAGTAATAAAATATGGGGTGTTCTATTTAAAAAATCCAAGTTTGATAAGCCACTGGAATACAGCACGCCCCTGGCGATCAAAAATATTTTAGAAATATTTTATGAAATACGGTAATTTTGTACGAAAGCGCTGTGGGGCCAAGATCTTTTAAATATTATCTAACAATTGTCAGTTCTTATCTGACAGTTGTCAATTAGTATCTAACAATTGTCAGTTCTTATCTCACAATTGTCAATTAGTATCTAACAATTGTCAATTAATATCTAACAATTGTCAATTAATATCTAACAATTGTCAGTTTTTATCTAGCCTGGTTCTCCTACTATGCGATCAAAAATGAGTTGCTGTCGAGTCACCTTTGGAATTTTTGTTTACATAGGAAATCGTATTTAACTTGAACTTCCAAAGGCGACTCGACAGCAACTAATTTTTCATCGCCCGTTATACAACATTTACTGATTTGTCTAGTCCTAGTGAATCTAAGTGAAGTCACCTGATGCTGTTGTAGGGGAGGGAATCAGTTCATTCTCAGCAATCTTTGTAGTCTGCTTGGCGTTATAAAAGACACTACACTGAAAAGTTAAATATGGATTTAGAAAACTTCCTTTTGGAACGAGGATTAAGTGGCGGATTTATCTTTGTTGAGGCCCAAAGCGCATGTTAGTGAGAAGGCCCTATAGTTTAGGGTAAATACAAAACATCAGATAAAAAAAATTTATTAAATTTAAAATAAGAAAACAACCTAATTTAAATTTAATTACACGTAGTTATTATATTATAACGACACTTTTCGGGCTTTTTCTCTAGCAAACTTGTCTATAATATTGTTATAATCTAAGTTTTGAACAACATCATTTTCAATAAACATAAGAGACAAGCTACTCAAATGTTGCTGACTTAATGAATTGCGCAAATAATTTTTTACCCTTTTTAGGGTTGAGAAGGATCTTTCGCCCGTTGCATTACAAATAGGGATAGTTAAAAAAATCTTTAAAATTGTCTCCACGTTAGGAAAAGTTGACTTTAGACCATCTACTATTGCTTCGTACATTAGTCTTGGATCTGTAATTTTTTCCTCCCAGGTGTATTTAAGAAATTGTTTTAGCTCTTCTTTAAAGTTTTCGACGTCGATATCTTCAGAATAACGTGTCATCAAATTACGTACTCTAGTTTCAAAATCTTCTTTATCCATGTTTTGTTCGAAGAACACGCTAAAATCTGCAAGGACTTCGTTATATGCCGTTGATCTTCTATTTATTTCAGCGATAAGAACATCACACACGACATTATGCACTGTCACAATAAAACCTTGTCTGCCCACTAAACACGTATCATTAGTTCTTGACTCGTCAAATTGCAATTTACGTTTTTTTACACGACGATCAGTATCTTCATCAGGAAATACATGATTCTCCGTTAATAAATCGGCACATTGTTCGATATCTTCAAACCCACATGTTCGGATATCTAAAATGTAATTAGACAAGGATTTTAGTAGTTTAGCTCCTTGTAAAATGTTTATGTCCTCCTTTTGAAGAGATTTGCTAGTGCTATTTATACGCGAAAGTAATTGATCCCACAGGATAGTCATCAAGGCATATTCATAATTATCAAAATTTTTATAAAGTGTTTTAGCCTCCAAACGGGTCACAGCCTTCTCTTTTGCACTTTCGCTAAATCTAAACAAAACCTCTTTAATGGATTTGTAGCCGAACCGTAACGCAGAAACAGCGTCTGCTCTTGCTGACCACCTTGTATCAGATAATCGTTTTAAATGAATGGATCGACTACCATTATTCTGATTATTCAAACAGTTTAATAGTTCATTCCAGCGGCGTGTCGAAGAAGCGAAAAATGTATAAACATTTTGAACGAACGCAAAATATTGCACAGCTTTTGGGCACGATTCAGCAGCCGCATTTCCTACTAAATTAAGGGAATGGCTGGCACATGGAACAAACACGGCAGATGGACAGTGACTTTTTATCCGCGTTTGCAAACCTGAGTATTTGCCCGACATATTTGCGGCGTTGTCATAAGACTGACCTCTGCATTGTGTAATACTTAGCGTAAGGCTACTAAGTGCTGACAAAATGACGTTCTCTAAATAACTGGAATCGTGCTGTTCGATTTCTAAAAATCCAAAAAACCTTTCACGAATTTTACCTTTCTCGTCCACGAATCGGAGAATAAGGGTTAACTGGTCTGTATGTGTAATGTCTGGTGTAGAATCTACAATTATAGCGAAATACGTAGCATTTTTCACGTCTGAAATCAACTTTTGTTTCACCTCGGAGCCCATAATGTTTATAAATTCGTCACACACTGCATGAGATAAATAATTCACATGGCCGCTACCAGGGTTACTATATTTTTGCAAGTGAGCCTTAAGAAATGGATCGAATTCCGCTAAGTAATCGATGCAGGTCAAAAAATTTCCTTTTCTATCTTCATTTGTTTCTCGATGGCCTCGAAACGCTAGGCCCAGGGTTGATAGCAATTTGACAGTAGCTATAATTCGTTTTAAAACTTCCCTCCAATATTGTTGCTGCTCTTCTAGCTGTTTGACCATATTACTATCAACACGTCCTAGTGCCGACGATCTTCTCTTAAACGCCAAGATGGAACGAACATGATCTAAGGAACTCTCATGTTCCTTTAGTGCCTTATTCACATTTCGCCAATCGTTATACCCGTCTTTAAGTTTGTTTTCTGAATGAGAGAATAATTTGCACACGTAGCAGTAAACACACTTGCTAGTTGTAGAAAATCTCAGCCATTCTCTAAATTCCTTGGTACCGTTTGCCTTTGTGGTGTAAAAATTGGAGGTACAGAAGCTTCGACTGTATTTTCTATTACGATCCACAAATTCTGACTTTAGCAAACCTACGTCACCAATATTTTGTGGTTTGTTATCGATTAAATAGTCAATGATTTTATCATCAGATATATGCGATGGCCATAAAGCAATATCTAAAGGAAAATTTACACAACTGGAGCTTTGTGTCTCTACAGAAGGAACCGGAACATCATTTCTTTGCAACGGGAATTCTTGAACAGATGCTTCCGAAGAAACCGTCAAACATTCACTCGTCGCTTCCACTGTGTCATTTACATTAATCTCACACTCGCGCGTAACGGGGAGCATTGATGAGGAGGAAGAACATGCCGTATCGGTATCGGAAATTAAAAAATTTGACAGGGATCCTCGTAATTTCTCCGCACATTGCTGCTTAGCTTTCAATTTTTTTCGTTTTTCAGCTCCAGATTCAAATTTTCTCTTCATCTTCAACATAGATAGTTCTAGAAGTATAAGAAATTAACGTCACGGTACAAGTGCAAAAATTATGCTTACGGTTACGTATTCCTTCACACAATAACTTTTCTGTAGTATAAGTAAACTTAAATAACCTAACAAGTAACAACGTTTATTTTAACTTAACTTCACTGTATTAACACAACACGTTACACGAATGCAAAAGCAACTGACTTAAAAACAGTTCTCGCACAATCGCTTGTTAGATGTAGCTGACTAAGCAGACAGACTTCAGACTTGAGACTGCAGAGTAAACTGAAAAGCGCAAATTTCTACGACATCATACCAATGCAACGGGCATCCTCAAATACGAAAAGAACAAAAGCTTGACGAATCATAAAATGCAAATAAGGTGTAACTGTAAACAAGTAACAGGTAAAATTACTCTGGAGTCTGGATAATTAATCCGTGCGGTACCCGGTACGGATCGTACCGGTTTTTTTTTGCAACAAGAGGGAAACATAACGGGGCTTAAAATATTCGATATGACTATTTTGTGGAGGCCCTTAATGAACGCGAGGCCCTAAGCGCGCGCTTCGCGCGCTTGTGCTTGAATCCGCCACTGCGAGGATTAAGTGAAAAGATTATAAATACTTTGAAATCAATGTGCCAGATATAATTCGATGTGACTCAATGTGCCAGATATAATTCGGTCCTTTACTAAAGTATTCCCTTCTTCTTAATCTTCTTCGTTTTCTAATAGTTACACCTTGAGGGTCCAGAATTTTTAGCAGAATACGAATAGTTTCTTGCTTCACTGTAAATCCAGCGTGTAGACAACGAAGATGCATCCACCTAGGCAGGCAGCCTGACCCGATTAATTTATTTCTTAGGAAACGTACTATAGTATTAATATCGGTATAGAATTTTTTTCGATACAGTCTTTGTTTATGAAGGTAACGTTTTAGAGATCGAATAGATACTCATAAATGTTATGGTGTGCAAGACAAGCTACAATTTCAAAATGTTTATATCCCATGTGTATTTAGTGGGGCCAACATAAAATAATGTTTGATTAGATCATCGGAAAGAGACATTTTTTGTTTCACTTACGTACAGTACACACATTTGATTTGTTCGAGAAATTATTTTAAAATAAAAACTGACAATTGTTAGATATTAATTGTCAGATACCAATTGACAATTGTTAGATAAGAACTGATAATTGTCAGATACTAATTGACAGTTGTCATATAAGAACTGACAATTGTTAGATAATATTTAAAAGATCTTGGCCCCACAGCGCTTTCGTAATTTTGTGTACAATGTTCCTCTAAGACTTTCTTAGGTATCTTTTCTGGTAAAGGAGTTATGATCCGAGGGATCTTAGGTGCTACACCTTGTATAAACCTATAAATATACTGGTACCATTACAATACGTAGATAGATAGAAATCTACCTAAAACGTACATAAGTCATACCACGTATTTATAGATCGGTTTTAATAAAATTTATGACGTTTAATTGGATGTCTATTTGCTTAAAATTAGTTTCTTGGTGATGACGTCCTTACTGCGGTTGGGGAGTGCGAAATGTTTGGGGTCTGGCGTGTTTTTTTATCTTTGGCATATACAGTATCCAAATCCAAAAGTTCACAATCGCCGCCAGCACTGAAATATTTTTATGATTTTTAATGCTATCCGATCCCACTATTAAAGGTCTCAACGCAAGGAACCTACCGCTGCGCTTCTGTCTGACCCCTTATCCAAAGAAGTGGTTGGGGGAGTGGGGGGAACTGGTTCTATCCTTCATGGTACTCTAATGAAAGGTACCATAGTCCTCCTCCTCGACTCCTTATCGTGATCGTATATATTCCTTTATATCTCCAGAACGGATTGTCGGAAGGGGGTATTCACAAAGGGCGATTAGCACGCCTGGAAGAAATATATCCATTGGTGATATCAACACTTTAAAAGCAAATATCTCGACAACGGTTTGTCGCAGTAAAGTATACTCTCAAGGGCAAATAATGAATCGACTGGTCGACACATATCTATTGGTAATGTCGAAGCAAGTACCTTGACAACGAAGTGTCAAAAGAGGGTAGGTACTCGTAAAAGGCAAGTGAAGCGTGATGGTTCAGTGCAAATATCTGCAAAATGGAGTGTCGGAGGATTCTGAATGTATGCAACAGGCGGCCTTTAAATTTTTATGTGTAAAGAGCCTCCTCCCCATTAATCAACTACCAAGAAAATAAATCCGTAGCATGCTATAACCTGCGCTTTATCTGCACAATGTTTATTTCGGATCCGTTCAACATAGAGCCACGAAATTTCAATCAGAGCTTATCAATGATATCTACACACATTTAAATTATGTTGTTTGTTAATTTTAATTTTAATAACAGTGCGAATAACAAATTTAAAGGTTTAAACTCTTTAGAGATGATAGTAAATCCGTGTTACACCATCCTATTTCTTTTTCTAAGAACCATATCATTACTATAGTCCTTTCGATGTCTTAAACTAGAATGATATGTGCCTTCAATTATGCGTATATAATGCCTTATCTGGTATTTATGTAATTTTAGAGACCTTACAAAATCGCGCGTTATAATTAACCGCGCAGAGTAAAATTCACCTCGTGAGAAGCTTTTTTGTTATTGCTAGAATTGTATCACATATGGGTATCGAAAGAATGTTGGCCAAAGGACACAAATTTGTTTTTTAGGACGAATTTTTAAGAAATGGTCTTTTGTTTCCTTTTTCCGCAGTTTTAGTAGGTAACTGACTTCAAGAATACGCGAATGCAAAGAACATGCGTACCAATTTTCAAAGCGATTGGATGTTTCTAAAAGAAGTTATCGTACACATAGACAGACGGACGGACGAGCGGACAGACAGTAGTACAAAATTCACCAAACCAATTAATTATTGACAAATGTCAAACTAGTTTTATAAGGACGGATAATACGTTAATTAGAAAACCTAAGTGAAAAAACCACTAGTGCATTTGTCGTTGGAAAAGTTGCCCGCACTGCACTGCGGCTTAGCGATTTTTTATACATGAGTTAAATTGTCACGAGAGAAAATTTTTTCTTACAGCTAAGGTAGGTATAGTAACCATGGTAATAGAATCAACAAACGAAAAATTAAGCAACGGCGTACTTTAACTTAGAAACGGTTTAAAATGTTGGTGTTATAAAGTATATTAATAAACCACGAATTCGGATAAAATAATCTTCAGCGTTATAAAAAATTTTGAAGATTACACGGTGTTTTATAGTTTAAAGGTCGTTTAAAGTACCTATTAAACACCTAGTTAGTTAATAGGTATAAAGATATGTGTTTACGTCTTAAATATCGTTTTTTACATAGAGATGAAATTATCGGACTTTTTTTAACGAAAAATCGTATGGAAAGATGTACTTTTTTTCACGATTTTTACTATGCGTTTCCATGGAGTTTAGTCCTGTCTATGAACTTTTGAGTGACAGTAAATCGCGAATGTCAATAAAATTGTTCAATTGTGGGTTATTATGGATCACTATGCAAAAAATTTCGTGTACAACACGTGTTGAAAGTGTCTTTTTTCCATGAATTTGCTTGATTAACTCGGGCTTCGTCCTCATTAATCAATCTGCAAATTCATGAAAAAAAGTATAATAATAATAATAATAATCTCCGTTTATTGAAAAAAAACAGTGAACAAAAAAGCAGGTGCAGTAAAAAAAAAGAAAAAAGACATAGAGGAAATGCTCACCGTTAAGTTTCACTTTCAAAACTAGTTGTACAAATAACTATTGAATAACCAAACCCTAGGTAAACTTTTTTCGTATCGTTTCCGTTACTTGATACTTTATTTTCCTAGTTATTTTCTTTATTTTATAGCATATGTTAAATTGACATTTTAGTAGGTTTGAATTGCTAAGCCGTTCTTTAACCGTAGGGGTAGATAAAGTGACACAGATGATTGTGCATTCTAATGGCATCTGTCATTCTTATTTCAAATGCACGATATAAAGAGACGTTCAAAACATATGCGGAAATTCTGTTTCTATGGAAACGATCGCGACGGCAGAACCTATAGACTTGCTATTTTTGACGTTTCCAAATTAAATTCAGAATTGTCATAAGCTTTACAATGATTTATATGGCTTCTGCTATAAAATAAAGTGTTGTATTATACACAACCATAAAGGGAAAGTAACCATCTCGTGAAAGTTAATTCATCGTCAATTAACATCTTTCACTTAATGGTTAAAATATCCCTTTATCGTCTTATACAGATAATAAATAGCTATTATTCCATTATTTTTGCATGCCTAAGTATATTTTAAGTTTATAATAAGTTTTAATTTTGGTTCAGTTTTCGTTTTCAGCTACTGTGCGATCAAAAATGAGTTGCTGTCGAGTCACCTTTGGAACTTCTGTTTACATGGTTAATCGTATTTAACTTCCAAAGCCGACTCGAGAGCAACTCATTTTTGATCGCCCGTTACTACACGGCAATTCCTGCCCAAGTTTAGTTACGATCCTAATCCTTCCATCCTTATCACACGCACCATACTTTAGAGGTATTTACCCTACCTGCCATAATCCGCACTAAGTGCATCCTTCTCAAGTGCCAAACCAACTTCCTATACTTGACCTATCCCGAAAATTGACTGCTTGACCAAGACAAGCAGTAGTGATGATCCACTTTCTTCCTTCATTCCGTCTTATATGACGGCCCTTCTGCTCCCCTCCACTCCGCGGCACAAACGCCAATCATCCGTGACGGTGTCTCTCTGACTTTGAGTTAATTAACTGTTAAGTATATGTATTATAAGAATCGTGTTTGCTCTTATTGACTCTTAATTAACTTAAAACCAAAATTTTTTGATGAAACGTTAATGTCGTTTTATCTGTAGGTATGTACCTATGTGTTTCTGCGCTTATCAATTGATCTGTATAATTTAATGTACTTACGTCATACATTTGAAAAAGATCTTTTAAATCATGGTCATTGACGCCCATCGCAAAGGGTTAATTTTATTTACCTTTTGCCGATGAACCCATATTTATCAAATATTGACTGTGGTTTTAGTTCCAGGAAAAAATGATTTACTTATTGTGCCATTCCACAGAAGTCAATAGTCTCTCCTATCATTATTACACTGAGTACTAAGTAAATAAGTAGGTATTTACTGCTTCAATTTTTTCTAAAACATTACATACATGTTGCATAATATAAAGCTACGCAATTACAAGTTATCTCGAACTTATCGTTTAATCACTTTTATCTTATTGAAGGCCTTATAGGATTGTTGGGACCAAATTATGAAACAATCTATCTATGAAGCTTAGAGTAGGTTTTAACCTAACAAATTTCGCGAAGGTATCTTTATTTCTTGGATTAAGAGGGTATATATTATGTTTACTACCTACCTATATGTATTGTTTATCATTCATTGATTCATAATAGTTTAAAAAGTAAATATTTAGTCTAAATCCAGTACCTATTAATACCTATACCTACATTAGTTTTATTTATACCTTGTTGGCCTTTTACCCTTTGTTGGAATTATCTGGTAATGTAAAACATTATGGTAACTAATAGCATAATTTGTATTAGGTACCTATACTATGCTAATACATTAGCATTGAATACAAGAGGTTTTTATGCAATGCTAGTACAAGTAGGTACTGAGCGTGAAGCATGGGAACAGGCCCTTGAACAATATTATGGCTAGCCATGCATATCTTCCGCACACATAGCTGTAACTGACTCTCTTGCCATGTTTTAAGGATTCTTTACTGCGGTATGTCTAGGTATACTACGTGTAAAACCAATACCTAAACGACCAGAGGGAGCACACAGCAGACCCCTTCTCGTTCCGCAACAAAATTAAAAACCAGATGTACGAGTATAAGTGAAGATTTTGCTCTACCAATTTAACCAAATGAGAACAAACTGGACTAGCGATTAAATTAATTGATGAAAGAAGGTAATTCATTATTTTCAATTCCAGTTTTTATGTTCATTTTGCTATAGGTATACAGGCGTGTGATATATAGGGCTTTGATTATATACTAATCAAAGGTATAGGGTGTCTAAAGTAGTAGGTATGAATTCTGCATTAATTTGTTGAAATGGAACACCCTGCCACGACTGTTTCTTTTGCTTTATTGTAATGTTCATTAACGTAATTCTCCCTGCACTGTTTAAACCGGCTAATAATGAATATTAATATTTAGCAGGGTGAGTTGTTTTGGATATGTATTATGCCTATTTGATTTCGAAATCTAGCTTTCAACGTAGTAGGTTATTGATCTCTTTTGATGTTATTTGGCTAAGTCATATCATTCCATTTGAATTTTTTAGGATTTTGGGTCAGTGTCAAAACTAGCCCCCTGGCGAAGAAGGATTGAACTAAATTAACTATATTTTGGTTGATTCTCATTTCCCAAGGAATACTCTTTTCAACCATACTAAATTTGTTAAAATCGGTCAAACGGTTAAGAAGTTAAATCAGGTTATTGCAAAAACAATTGAACGCCCCACACAATCTTTATTTTGAAAAAACTGAGTTTTTGTTTTTACGGAAATGATAGAGAAACTGGTTCTCTATAAAAATGTGAAAAAAATGTTTTTAGTTTATTATGCGAAATTTAAAGAAAATGCAATTTTCAAATTTAAGATGGCAGTTACGCCCTCTGTTGGTCATTTTTAGAACTTAAAAATATTTTCCAGCGATTCTTCATGACCGATTTATCCAATAATTTTTTTTACCCCTAACCCTAAGTCATATGACGAACGGTTCTCGAGATATGGCCGAGAAACGGTCTTATTGGATCACCCGGTACAGGTTTTGTGGAGAGGCAGATGATACTACTGAGCATGGGGTTTGTCATTGTGACCCCTTGATCAGAAACAGACATCAACACCTTGCCCACAGTTATCTGGAACTACGGTGAGTGATCTTGTGTCAGCAGTGTCAAGTTATGGTGGATCTTAGGACGTCAAATCGAGAACCCAAAACCCGTACACGGTACACACAATAACAAAACTGGATATTGGAATATAGGTATGAACACACCAATATAGTCTGTAAAATGAGTAAGTTTCGATTTCGGATTAGCGCTTAATTAACGCACGCCATCAGTTTATATATCTTTGCCCTTCTAACAGATAATAATTGTGGTAGAAGGCAAGTGGGTAGCCAGTTTTGTCACCGCGGGTGGTGAACTTAAGAAGGAATACTAATGGAAATACATGCACCAAAAAAAGATATCAATAGGGAAGTCATGCTTTGGCGCGACTCGGGAAACGTCCATTTAAAAGTGCAATGCAATGACGTTTCCCGAGCACGTTGGCGAGTTAGTCAATTCAAATTTAAGCCCTTGAGTCTGCGCGTTGCTGAGGGAGTCACGGTGAAACAGAGACGCAAGTCAAAAAAACAGCTTAGTAGCGCCACCCCAGCTGTTCCAAGTATCAATTGTATATAAACTAACAATCTGCAATACTCCGAAAAGTGCACAATTAAAACAATTGTTAGATGATCCCACACAGACTTGACACAAATTACAGTGGATAGATCAGGTTCGTCTTGAATGTGGGATGGTTCGGGTAGTCGTAGGAGATGGATACCGGTACACAAAAAAAAGAACACAAGAAACACAATTTATGGAAAAATGGCACATAGTATATTATGTACGTACTGTATATTACATATAGTTAATAATCGTCTGAATGTCATATTCTAGCTGTATTTCCTAACTTAATTCTTGATCACGCAGTAGTTTATTCATATACTTTCGTATAAGTAGAAACACATTCGCCTTTAAAAGTTTGATACATATCAATTTAAGCTTTACACTTTTTTGTTTAAACTTTTTACTATAATCATTAAAAGAAACTTTCGTGTTTCAAATGATGGATTTTTTGATACTACAAAAATATATCTTATAAAATATTCAAACAATTTACAAAATTCGCAGATAACGTGCATAAGTTGTATGTCGTTTATTTTAATGCACCAATATTGAAAATCTCTTTGTCATCAAATGAGAAGTATATTAAAAGAAAATAACTTAAATAATATAAATATACAAGAACTATAATAAAAATATATTCATATATATATAAACACGGCTGCCACTACCAATTTTCGATAATTGTACCAAAGTTCAGTTGACAATCATAGTATATACCTGCTGCCTTTAAGAATCTCATTGCAAACCCTACGTGCTACATGAACAATACTGTTACAGTACAGATCTCGCTTGACTAGATTTTTAGCATTTGATGAAATTATTCTACCTGCGCATAAGTGACCAGTGCAAAGAATGTTTGTACAGGATGTATTTTCTTGTGAGCATTACATTCACATTATTGGATGCAACCGGTATTAATTAGTAACTCGAAGTGTGAACACCCTGCACAATTTGGCTATAAAAACTGATGCGCACTACGACTAAAGTTGACCTGAACTGATTATGGTTACAGAGTTTTATATATTCATTTTCACAGCCATTTCTCTGTATTCAAGATTGCATTAATAGAGTCATGGCTAATACAATGTATTTATAGCGTTTTAACACAATAATTTTTTGAGATATTAATTCATACTATTCAAGTGAAATAAGGCATCAGTTTTTATGTAAGCTCGTAACAAACTCACAAAGACCTCATACAGGGTGTCCCGTCTGAAACTCATTCCCGGAGTGATTGCTCACTCAGATAATATGCAGCATTTGACAGCACTTTCAACATTATGCCTCCCAGTACACATTATTCATTAAGCAGCTTCTTTACATACAAAGTGAAGAACCTAAAACTTAAGAGGTATCAAATGATGGGAAATTACTAGAACGTGATATGAAATAGTTCGAATAAATCAGTAAATTACAACACTACAACCAAATATAAAGCAAATTATTTAAGAATAAGGTTTAAACAGAACACCCCTCCGTAAGGCGGACATTTCTGAGCAAGTTTGTTCATGACATACGACAAAACAGTTTACAATGAGTTCTCAGCTGCCATACAAAAATAGGGTTTTGTTTCCGCAAAGAAAAAAAAAGTTTAAACAACATTCCTTTGGTAATGCAATTCTAAATTGGCTGCCTTAGGAATGGAAACCACCCCATTGGTGTTAAATTGGGAGCTTTTTTACAGATTTATTAAAATTATTGCAAATTATCTATAAAAACCGCCAAATAAGTAACTAGCAATTAATGTCATAATTGATTTGCAACGTTTTTATGATAATCAAATAATAAATCATTTAACTAGTTTTAGTTGCTCAGATTTCAAACGCTTTAAATAATTACTAAATAAATTTAAAGGATTATATTAAAGAGAGCAACTATTTTTGCACATGTTTTTGTTTAAAAAATACTGAGCAATTAAAATAATTTAAATTTTCTTTAACAATCAAAAACAATAATATAAATATTCACTAAAATACGAAAAAGAAACAATATTACAAATCTTAATTCTATTATTTAATATAATATTCGCTAAATAATAAGAGAAGTTATATGTTAAGGTATAAACTAAATTATGCAATTAACTTAATACAATCGAATCATTAAGTTGTCGATACATTCGAGAAAACTTATACTGTTGTTAAGTATATATTTCAATAAATTAAAAAAAAAGGATATGCGTGTTCACTATACATAAAAAACCAATCAAACTTGAATGGTATTGTAATAGGTGCCTTGTTTGGATGGTTTATACAAAAGTCAACAATAGAATTTGAAGGCACGTATTACATTTTCAAGAGTTCAACTTTAGAATACTGGCGCACGGTAGTTTAATACCTTACATAATTTCAACGAGGTTGAGATAATTATTATTAGATCACAATATGAGATTCTGTTCATTTCACTGCACTGGTATCGAAGCATTATTGAAACACGAAAGTAAATAAATTAAAGCTCTAATAAATAAATAATGTAAACTAAGTGTTGTAAAATGAATACGAAGATAAAGAGATCTTACGTTTGTCACTGGAGATATTTAAATGCCTAAATTAATGAGAGCGGTAAATTCAGTATGATTGTCTTTTTTTGCTTTAATGACAGTAAACTGTATGGCACAACCATTTTGACAAAAAGTCGAAGTTCTAAATAAATTACGCAAAATAATACCTTACGAATATGTCACATTGTGTACGTATCAAATCATGGCAAAAAGAGATCACACTATAAAATTACGTATAAAAGTCTAAACGAGTATTGGGATGTTATTTGGCACCTAATTTTCAAGCACTATCTAATTATCTCAACCGCATTAGAAATTATAGTACAAACATCATTATTACAAACTAAAAACGAAAAATAAGTAAAAAAATCTATAAAAAACAGAATACAAATTTTATCACTGCATAATTTCCTTAAAAAAATATAATATTGTTTATGCACGATGTCTCATGAATGAATGATAGCCGTTTGTACGAATGCATGTATATACAGTTGGCAAGCCTTGCCTACGCTAGCAATGCTATTGCGGCTGCTGGCTTGGATTGTGAGGCAAATTAGGAGGTGGACCCTAAAAATGTTTCATTTTGAAATGACAGTTACGTAAACTACCGATTCACATTTCATTGCCATTAAAAATGAGATTTAACTTTAAAGGAAGGTAATGTCAACAGTGCAACGTAATGCATGGAATAAGGATTATCAGTGAGTTGCAGTGTTTCAAGCATATCCACGATGTAAAATGTGTGACAATACTTTGTCGAACAATGAGTAGTAATTATATACCTAAGATCCAGGGAGCCAGGATCTGCAAATAAATTCTTAGTAAGTGGACGCAATTCAAAGAGCACAGCCTGACGGGTCTATAAATAGCCAAGACTACAAATTATCAAATTGACATCGTTCCAGAGTAAGGCTGTTGATGGACTAGATCGAGTCTGCTAAAATGGATATGTCTGTCTGTTTGCATTACTACTCCCGCAAAGGATTTTATATAGTACATATATAAGTCAATAGGTGGTACGCGTGCATATAGAATTAAAACGCTTTCAAATGTGTTTCTGATGCAAATGCACAAGCTTCAATAAACAACAGGTAGGTGCATCAGTACAATAGAAAAAAGATAAATAAAAATAATTATCAAAACATAACATAAACATAAGTTATTCAAAGCACAATTACAGGAGATAACGTGGCTCAAATAGCAACGAGGGTGAAGAAGAGAGCACCAATTTGTGGCTTTTCAAATGGAATGAAAGAGAACAAACTCTTAAATGAAAAATTTGCTTTATAATAAGATTTTGTAAAAAAGTCGAAAATTCCTGTCCCAAAATAGTTCAACAGAAGTGCGAAAAAATTCTTATCTTAAGCAAACTCTCAAATATTAATATGAAAATAACAAATCCAAAACTTACAATTTGAATGGCAAATGTATTAAGGATAGAAAAAAAGTGGACCTAGAAACAAAATTCAGCTATCTGTAATCGGCTGTTCGCTAGGGGGTGTTTCTCGAATTTAGTCGATTTATTTATTTAATGCCAGATAACTTTCATATTAATAAAGATACATAATTCATTTTGGCAAAATCTTTTTTAACGCACTTTTTTATGTAGAATCATTCGCGATACAGTTTTTATACTAAACACAATGTTTTCATACAGACCACCCTATATATCTTAGGAGTTTCTGAAATGAGAGTAAAATTTCCTAAATTTTGATGCATCGCTTGTTATATTTGTATTAAATAGTATTTGCAATATTGCATTTTATATATTAAATATTAAAATATTTTTATTGCAGACATCTAGGTTTCCATGGCGAACAAAAAATGGTAGAATTTGAACATGACAATTTGTTCTGTATAATCTTAATCTGTATTATTTATTTATTTTATTCACATAAGTTCTTTGTTTATTGGGTGGTACTTAAATTTAATATACTTGGAAGTAATAAAAATGTTCAGATAACCAATAAATTGTTGTTTTAAACAATCCTACCCTCATTTGTTCGCCATGCAAACCTAGATGTCTGCAATAAAAATATTTTAATGTATAAAATGCGATATTGCAAATAATATTTAATCTAAATATATCACACGATACATTAAAATTCAGGAAATTACGCTCTTAACAAAAACTATAAAATATATAGGGTGGTCGGTATGAAAAAATGTACTCGTATAAGAAAAACCCTGTATGAAAACTGTGTATCACAGTGGCTACATAAAAAAGTGCCCTAAGAAATATTGCCAAAATGAATTATTATCTTTCATAATAAGACAGTTATGGGGCATTAAATAAATAGACTAAAGTCAAGAATACCCCCTAGCAGCTAAACGATTAGCGACAGCTGAATTCTGTTTGCGCCAGCGATTTTTTCTTTAAAATGAAGTTCCAGACACCTAGGTCCGAAGTTTTCTATCCGTTAAAATAAAGGGCGTTTCCATAAGAAAGCGTCCAATTTGGACCAGCCTGTACTTATAAGCCTAACTGTATAACATATATGTTAGAAAACAGAAACATTTGCATACTCCTGGAAACAGACTGAAAGACAAGACGTATTTCCACTTGGTGGTAACAGCGAAACACATAAAATGGGGTATAGGTTCTCAAAGTAGACCCACATGAGGAATATCATTCCTAATCACACATCGTGCAAATGATTTTCGATAGAAAAAACAAAAAACCACATGTCATTCATACCTTGATTACCAAAAATAGTTTGTATGCTATTACAATGATTTGGGTTATTAATGGAGACAGCGGTACCCCGAGAATCTATTTGTGGGTCGCTATAAGCACAAATTGGGTTATTATAATAAAAATTTTTGTACTGCAGTTTTATAAACCCAAGCCTGCCTCCAGTTATGTGTTACCATACTTAGTTTACAATTTTTTAACTTTAGACAATGAAATGTGAAATACTAATAACATTAAATGTAATGCATTAAAATATAAATGTTATAAACAATACAAAGACATTCAACTCACTGGTATATTTGGATAATGTGAAGCGGCAGAGAGCATGTGATGAGGACCGGGTCCAAGTTTTGGACCATCTTCAGCTTTTTCTTCTTCTCGCCTTTTCAGACACGCTGCTTTAGGATTTAAATTTCTTTCTGAAATTGTAAAACATTACACATGACAATGAATTATTCGTTGTAAGTCATGAATAGAATAATAAAGCAACAATGCAATAAATTTCAAAGACGCATAAGTAAATGATGCTTTTAAAAACATTCATCTTTCGATATTTCAACTTTTAATTTTTCAGCTTTTAAAAACATTCATCTTTCGATATTTCAACTTTTAATTTTTCAAATTCTTTCAAAATGTATATGTTCACTTATCCATCGGCTGAGAATTTTAGCCGAAAATTAAATTATTATGTTGTATTTACAGTAAACGGTCTACTCAGTTCTGGCAATGTAGCAGCCAGTCTTGCCACACCTTCCGACAAACTTCGTACAGCCTTTGGGAAATCCTGTACCCCATTCCCGTGGGAACTTCTGGAAGTTCTTTTGGAGCACACCTTAAAATGCCTTCAAAGGAACCTACATTCTAAATGTTAAGTCTCTTTTCGACTGTAAAGGGCTGTATGACACTATGCATTTTCTTGTACCTTTTCTAGTATCGTTTCTGATACAAGAAAAAATGTAGTGTCATACAGCAAATGGTCTCTTGTACAGGAAATGGTAAGTACAAGAATTTATGTTCGCCACAGTACAGAGCAGGAAGGTGCCCTTATCCATTTAATGACAGTGGACCAACCCTCACTGAGATGCCTGGGACAGAGAGGCCTAAGAGCCAGCTTGAGGTTTGGAAAAGTGGCAATCAAGCCTAAGGCTTGTAGCGCCACTTCCAAGGGAGCACCAGAGAGAATAAGTAGAGGAAGGCCAGGCATCCAAAGCCCAAAAGCCAGCATCAGTGGCAAAACGAGGAAAAGAGACAAACAGACCAAACGGAACAACCCACTGAAGGCGCAGGCTCCCCAACTAGCGAACGCCAGTCGTCCACGCCCAGGGAGCCGATGTGTCTAGGGGGTCAGCCGGGAAAAATCATAGTCCACAAAATCGCCTTCCTACAGCCAAACCTCCCACATAGCAAGGTGGCGATTGCGGTCAAATAAGAGCTCAGTCTATGGGGGCTTAATGAGAAAGCTAGCCATAAACCATGGTAAGTTATAGTTACAGTAAGGGAGATTAAGCACTGAGGACAGCAATGCTCCTTAAATTCCAGGTAAGCTTCATACCATTAATCGACTTTATTTCCAGGGACCTGGTTGCAGTAGAAATCCCCACAGTAACCTTCGGAGGTGGGAAAAGGGCCATAGTGGCCTCGGCCTACTCCCCGGAAGACTCGGCGAGGATACCCACAGAAGAAGCAGACTCTGGTGGAATACTGTAAGGGGAGGAATATCAACCTAGTCATGAGATGTGATGCAAATGCGCACCACATAGCATGGGGCAGCACAGACACAAACAAGAGGGGTGTATTGCTGATTGAGTACACCAATTCAACCTCACTTAAAATAGCGAACAGGAGCAAAAAGTCACCTTTGCCAATAAAATTAGACAGCAGGATATTATTTCATCGACTCCGATAATTGGGGCAAACATAACTAATTGGCATATACCGGATGAAACTTCACTCTCGGCCTATAAGCATGTAAGATTCGAGATAAAGACACCATGCATACCGTCAATTACAATCAAGGTCCTACAACTGACAAACTGGTGTTCCTACGAGAAGTGCATGAGGTCTGAAGTTGATGAGATCACCCAAAACGTAGACACGAAAGTGGAACTGGAAGTAGCCACAAGTGACCTACAAAGACTTCTACTTAATACAAGGAACGTTCCCTGGCGGGGTGAGGAACTAGATAAACATCGTGCTAATCAAAAGGCTATTAAACTAAGTCAAACTATTTTCGACAAAACATGGGAAGTGTACGTGATAAGAACGTTCTGTGAAGGGTTCGACTCGATCGCAACACCATTGCGTCTACAAAAAGAATAGGGACTCTTAAGAATCCTGAAGGAAATACACAGTGGGCGCCAAGGAAACACTAGAGCTTCTCATGAGCACTCACTTTCCAGGCTCTCAAGAAGTAAAGGCTTCAACAAATAAAGAAACCTCAAGAATCTTTACACAGGAAAGGGTAGAATGGGTCCTAATGACTTTCAAACCCATCTCAGACTGATTCCTGAAAAGTAAGGTACTAACAAAACATCTGCTTCACCCCCAACATTCTTTTGAAAAAGGAAAATCGACAATCACACCCATACATAGTTTAACATACAAAAAAAAACCAAGCATTAATCTGCTCAAAACGGTGGTGCCTTTTACCAGAAGGGGAAAGGCCAACATAAGGGCAACCACTGTGGGGGCACCACCATCGATCTTAGTAAAGAGGTCAAATACCCGGGAGTGAACTTTGACCCCCCCCTTTAACATGGAAAGGTGAAAAAAAGGCGACCCTGGCATCCCAGGCCTGTAGAAGGCTACAGGGCTTAACAACTAAAATGACCAAATGGTCGTATGAAACTATCATCAGATCCATGGTCACATATGCCACAGTAATATGGAGGCCAAAAGTTGAGCAAACAACTGCAGAAAAACAGCTGCAGCATATAAAAAGGCTAGCCTGTTTAAGTATAACAGGAGCCATGGCCTAATAAGAGTACGGTCTGCTATTGCGCATAATGCATTAGTTGGTTGGCGTTGATGTGACGACGTGCGGTTGAAAAACGAACTGGTGTCGGCAAAACTCCCATCAGAAGAAGTACGAAAAAATAGTAATTACCGTGAAAAGTTTTAAAACATAAATTGCTTACACTTAACTACAGCATACCTGCATATATCTACAGTGATATTCATTCCTATGTCTACTTTTACATGATAAAAAGTCTCCTCAAAGACGCCTAATTTTATGCAACCAAAATAACTTCTTCAAACAAATAAAGATCTGACTGCCATATTAATTATTAATATGAATGTTGTTGCTTTAGCTTCACAGAAAATAAATCTCTTAAGCTCCTTTAATTGTTATCCGCACTATACCAATTGGAAATAACAACTTTTTCTTTAGTTGAATGCATTGCACACGAACCGAAATTAGAATAAGGAAGTCAAAGCGATAATATTCAAATTAATTAATGTGACAGGCAGATCCTCATTTGTTGTAGGTAGTTACTTTGGTTCAATAACATTAGGTGTCTTTCAGGAGACTTTTTGTCATGTAGACATAGGAAATTCCTATGGGAAATCCCTATGTCTACTTCTACATGAATATCACTGTATGTAACAAACTGTGCTGTATTACAAAAACAAAGTAGAAAATCATTAGGATTTAATGTAAAATATGTACAAAACATCAGTTCAGACTGTGGTTTTTCATTGGCTACTAATTGTTCATCTTTCTGCAGAAGTTCCGCAGCTTCTCATTTTCTTATTTAGTTTCCGAATTTCCTGATTCTGATCCTTACTCCAAAAAATATCGTTATACACTCTTTGCTTTAACTAAGTGTTCGAAAGCGTCGTTAGGTATCAACGTCGTATCACACGATGCATTAAGTTTATTACTTTTTCAATAATTTTGGAATCATGGTAAATGTTCTCGTCCTGCAAAATTTGTTGGCTTTCTTTAACTTCCTTCAGATATAAAATTAATCCAATTTTCGCCTAAATCCTAAGAATCGGTATTTCGTTTTTAATTTGTATGCAACGTAACAAGCCATATAAAGTGAAGCTTCTTTATGAATGTTCGTTGATTCTTGAGCAAAATGAAGGTATTTAAGCAATACCTTCTTGTAATGTTGACCCGTTAAACAAGTGTTAATTACCGCCAAGTTTTGTAATGGTTGAGCAAAGCAGCTTTCGCCGGCCGTTTGGAAGGTATTTTTTTGATTAACACAAACGGCATCGGAATGTTTTCCTAATATGTACAGGGTGATTCAAATTCGAGGGCCAGCTTGGGGATTTCGGGAACTGTAAGAGATAGTAGGTAGTTTAAATTTGGCAAAGTTGCGTATTTTGATGCTTAACAAAATGCAGTTTTCAAACTTAAAAAATTCCGACTACTTTCAGAGATATCCAAAATTTTGCAAAATCGTTTTTATTTTTTACTGAAGATATTTAAAAAGATATTTCGAAATAAAACACACATTATTATGGCCACTTTTTTCTCTCTACAAGACGCTAGTTTCAAATTTTAAATCCGACGTTTCATCTCCGGTTGACCATCATCAACTTTGTTTTTTCTTATGGAAGTAATTTTTACTTTTTGGGTCATTTGATAGAGAATTCATCTCCGAAAGTAGTCGAAATTTTTTAAGTTTCAAAACTGCATTTTGTTAAGCATCAAAATACGCAACTTTGCTAAATTTAAACTACCTACTATCTCTTACAGTTCTCGAAATCCCCAAGCTGGCCCTCGAATTTGAATCACCCTGTATAATTTTAATCTGCATTTGAAATCTTCAGGTGAAGGATTCTCAAGTGGTTCTCCCATAGCACGAACATATGAAAAAAGGTTTCTCAACAAATCTTGGGTGTCAAAACATACTCTGTATCGTATCTACCTATTTCTTAGGTATTAACGATCGGTTAATTCACTCAGATACAGATACAATTATCCCCGCTGAAAAGGCAACATGTTGGAAATCTATAACAACTTGTATTTAGTTTTTCTGCTGATATTATTGCAACCATACCATGTGACATTTTGGTCACGAGAATAGCAGACCATACTCTTATTAGACCATAACAGGAGCCATGAGCATCTATCCCACAGCTGCTATGGAGACACTGCTAGGCCATGCGCCTCTCCACTTAAATGTGTAGAAGCAAGTGATGGGAAGCGCTATAGGATTGCACCGAACCAAGAGTTTCAAACTGGGGAAATTAGTAGGACACCTAGAAATTCTTGAGGATTGTATTAAAGAGGTGGCAGAATCCTCATCGAGACACAAAGCCGATAAAGTACAATCTAGGAGTCTACTATTAAACCTAGAAAGAAGGGGGCAAAAACAGACATCCTCACAGTCAAGCTGCACTAAAGGCGTTAGTAGCCCGTATCTGACTTCAAACTAGTCTAGAAGTGCATCTGCAATCTAAATTAATTAGCAACTGGCAACCGTATCACACTATGGTGGATGCCAGGATATTTGGGGGTAACATGAAGGCAAATGCCAAGCAAGAAGAATAGGACTCATCACTGGCAGATGGTACCAGGACGACAGGCAAAATTATTCATCAAGGCCACGTTACAAAACGTCACGGAAGCTTCAGTCCTCAACAGGAAAGACCTACAGTCCATTACAAGGCTGGTCACAGGCCATATACCGCTTCAACACCATTTACATAATATTGGCGAAGCAGTGGAAGCCACATGCAGACTGTGGACAGGCAGATGAGACGCCCGTATGTGGATGCGAGGTTGCTAGCGGGCAAAGGGTAAATGACCTCGGTGGGGACAAGCTGAAAACACACGAGATAGGAGAATTCAGAGCTCATAGCTTCTTCAATCGGCTAAAACTACTCTAAAACGAGTAAGGGTAGTACAAAAATCCTTAGAGGATTTAGTGCTTAAAGGCTACACTGCCGTACCCTCACATACACAATACGCTACTGTGCACTTAACTCCATTCTGGGACATCAGGGAGGATCCTTTCTCTAAGACTCTGTAGCACTCTCCTGTTTTGCACTAAGTAACTGCTTTTCAGCAATGCGTATTCATGAATCTCACACACATACACACCCCTACACTACTAAATACTGTTCATAGTGTTCATGTCAACAGACTGCATGGAGTATTCAGCATTAGTAATTGGTTTTGTCGTATGGTCTTATATTCTAGCATCAAATTTCCATAACTTGCTCTTTTGAGTGAGATGTTTTTTTAATAGTAGACTTTCAAACAGTTTTTACTATGACATCTAACAATATCATTTACAACATATTTGTATTATTGTTCTCAGGTTCTCACTGTTCATTGCGTTATTCCAAGAAAACAATAAGGAAGAAGCGATACTGTTGCTATACAAAAAGCGTAAATGAATTTAATTTTAAGAGTGATGCGAACATTGAAAGCTTAACTTACCTCTAACTTGTTGTTCTAATGTCATAATTACTTCAACTGCCATATTAAGAATACCCAATTTGGTCTGTGGTTTATCCGTTTTTAAATGTGCCATACACATACGACCTAATTCTTTAAGTGCTTCATTTATATCACGAATACGTATCCTAAAAAGAAGTAGACATACTTCATTAGAAATTGGCGAAATAGTAATATTCACAAAATCATAATTACAAACAGAAAATCTACCTTTTGATCAATGCATCGGTTTAGAAATCTTGAAAATTAATACTTCTGTAAGTAATTACACTTCTGTGATTTTACAAATTGCCATTCTAATTAGTTGGCCAGCAGGAAACTATACAAAGGCGTAAGTACAAAAAAATGTGCAATACTAATCGTCAATAAAAAAAATTATAATGCATTAGTGTTAGTAGATGTAGTAAAGCACATTATAGTATGACATGTGTTTCCGAAAGTGAGCACACATGAATACAGGCCAAGATACACTGAATGATGAACGTTAATATATAACTAAGGCTAAGGCGCACCTTTCTCTAGCATTATTTGCCTGCCTTCTCTCCCTTTCTCTTTGAATTTTAACATCCGGATCCAATTCACTGTCCTCTTCGTCCCCACTTGAACATAAAAAGTAATGAAAAACCTTTCTAGTCAAGTCCAAGTTTGATAAACCACCATTGTCACAAAAAAACGTATAGAATTGTTATGGTACATAGTAACACGCATTCATATTGTATATGAAGGCCCATATTCAAAGTGTATCATCATAATGTTGTGCATTAAATAAATAAGATTTTTACACGGCTAAGTACATTTCTACACATGCTGGCCAATTCACAATAAAATGTTATGCAAAACAGCTACAAGTCTCAGTTTGCGTAACATTTGTATTTCTGAACATGAGCCCTGGTGTAGGATGGGAAAGTGACCCAGGGGAATTCTGGTTGTTACTCACTAAATGATTAGTACTCGAAATGGACACTTTGGAAAATGAAAAGAAAGGCGGATAATGGAATGTTATTGAAAAATTGTGTAAAGTTGCGTGCTACTACATACCGTTCACGTATGTTGTTAGCCTGTCTGCGCTCTTTCTCGCGCACGGCCTTGTTGCTTGGATCATCAGTTTCATCATCATCAGCATCGCTAAACAATTAATTTTTGTTACAGCACAAATTAGCAGTTTATCAAACATCTTAATAGTTTAATTTAAATACAATTCACCAAGAAACCCCCACAAAGAAATCTATGATTTTTTGAACACAGCATGGAGATATAGGTACATATGCAGTTTACTGCAATGGGTGCCAATGTAACAAACATCAAAAACCAACGGGATTTTAATATCAATCTACCACATTAGTTGCTCTATGTAAAATAAGAAATTTGAAAGGCTGTAGATTATAATGAACTGAGTTAATAATCGAAATTTCATCATTAAAAATATGAGTTTAATTAATTTTCACTTAAAGGTGAACAATGATTATAGTTGATTGTTAGCTCTTGATGTTTGTGATAGCAGATTTTGGTTGAATTAGAGATGTGTGACAATAAGTGTTCAAGTTTTCACAGTTCCTCGAACTGTTAACATACCTAGTATACACGACGAGTTTTTTTTTTCACTATGGGGATCTCGTAAACCGTATCATATACAAAGTTGCTTAAATCGAAAGTTATGCTGAGTAATTTTCCCATTCAAAGTTTCTTGTAGCTCTACAAATAGCGAAGTTATGACCAAAAAATTGAAAAAAAGAATTTTAACAAACCGTTAGTAGTTTCTCAGCTTTCTGAGGGTGCTAAAACATGATCTTGCTAAAAACTTTCGGAACTTTTTCAATATGTTTACCAAAAATTTGTTTTTTTTTGTTAAAAAAAAGTTGGAAATTTGGATATTTTGTCGCTTTATTTGGATTTGGGTAATTTGGCGATAAAAATTGGAAATCTCGACAAAAACAATCCAAAACATTTGTTACATTTGTCCCTAAAAAGTTGGAATTTGAATTTCTTGTCGGTCCTAATTAGGTGCATTTCAGATAAGAATTGCAATATCTGCCATTGCCAAGGTGGGTTCATAGCTCTCCGTTCATACGTTTCCGTTTGTCTGTTGGCCCATCAGAACACAGTAAATTTTTAAATCGTACGTTGTCTATTTACAACGGAAAAGTTGGTTGAAGTTGAACATTTACGTTTCCGTTGGTCCGTTTTTTTAACACGAGTAAGGTTAAGTTTGTTATATTGTTGACGTTTAAGAGCAAATTTAACAGTGTTCGTCCATTATGTTCTTCACAGTGATAATCTGGTAGTAGTTTCTACACTGAAGATCACGGTGGGTACAGATCAAATTTAAATTTAGGTTATGGTTATACCTTGTAAAGGTACGATATAGACGGATTGCGATTAACCTTAACAAATTGAACTATTCGTTTGACAGATCAACGCAACGGATGAACGGAGAGCTATGAACCCAACTTGCCCAAATGCATCAATGTATATTGACAGCAGTCACCTTCAAAATCACTTTCTACTAAATTTGCCTGTTTTTTCAATATACTCCTAGTTTATAGTCATTCAAATGATAAAAAAATGGCATTATTAAAACTACACACAAGTACATTAACACACATCTCTAATTCATGCCAAGTATGAAAATGGTCACACAAATGGTTAGTTACACCATATTATTGCAAATACAAATATTTTAAAACCGAAAATCGGTACTTACTACCTCCTCGTCCGTTTTGTTGTCTTTGTAACTGTTGCTGCGCTAGTTGAATTAGGTTGAGCTATTACACTGTCTATAGAACTAGAAGGCTTTGTATCACTATCGGGAGGCTCTTTGCGTTTTTCTGCAACAATTTTATTGTTAACGAAATAAGTGCACATTCAGTTTCAGCAACCTACTACTATTATGTGTCGCTCTTTCCGCTTTTACAGGTTCCGGAAATGGCGATTCGGGAGGTGACGACGTATATCCCAACGTCGTGACTTGAGGTGGACCTAAACTTGGCGGTAGCTGACCTAAACCTATTTGAGATTCAGCGTGATTACGAAGTACATTAATAGCATCATCCAGTCTTTCTTCCATTCGTGTTCCCTAAAAACAAATCGTGCTGCAAATAGTGTGAAAATTAAACTGCCGCTAAATTGAATAAGATTATAAATGTTGTACCATCGACTAAGGAGTTACTGTCTTTATTTTTATATAAAATGTTCCTGTACGTGGTTAATACAAAACTGGGCCCACAAGTTATAGAGAGAATAGATGGTAAATTTAGAGTTGAGAGTGATCTTGATATTTAATTAATAATAAATTAAAAAAGGGACTATCATAAGGTAATTCAACTGCATGGCTACTTTCATGTTTACTCCTAGGAACATAATTAAGGCCCAGCTGTACAATGTTAGTTTAAACTTCAGTTTATAGGTAAATTATTGTGGATTAAAGGATTTGAGTGGCTAATATTTCACAAGTTAATCAATCGTGTTTCTGAAATCTGTCAGTTAAACTAATCTGAAGTTTAAACTGACATTGTACAACTGGGCCTTAGAGTGACAATAGTCCCATTCCATTGGCTCTTATAGATATGTATTTCTCTTATCTATAGAGCCGCTCTATAGGGTCTTCAAACCTAAGGAGGCAATAACTTGATAATTATAAAAGATACAAGGTCGGTTAAATTAGAGAACTAGTGTGTTTTTTTTACACTGAAAAACAATTGATAGTCACATTCTCAAAATATCAAGAAATGGAACATGATGCAATATTCCATTATATCACATTTTTCTAAATTCTAAGTTCTGCCTTATTCAGCGCTGTTTTCAGCGCCAACGCGGAAAGAGTATTTCCGCTGAGAAAAAATAGCGGACACCAAACGACAGCAGTTGCCCGGCTGAACGCACCCAATGTAAATCTCTACCTAGGGAATATATCATATACGGGGTATTCTATTAGAAAAAATGCGATTTTGTCGATATTTTGAGAATGCGACTATCAATTGTTTATCTGTTTTCACCATTGTAATCACCGTAAAAAATTTGCTGTGGATAGCACAGATACCATCCGCACACCTGCGCACGCGCGTTCTGTCTACTAACTAAACAAAATTCCGAACTCTGTTCCTACCATTTTCTTCAATGAATTTCTCCTCCAAATATAAAATATCATCCAACTCTACATTTTCGTTCAGGTGATGCTTACACTGCGTTTTTTCCACATTTTAACAGCATGTATCCAGTATGTAAATGAGCCAGAACACGACGAAAGTTATCCGTGGCTCAAAGCTGGTAGTTAAAGCTGATCAAAAAGCAGCAAGATAGGAAGAGCAGTGTTAAGCTACCTCCCACCACAACGATCACCTCAAAAAGAACGTCCAAGACGTCTAAGCGATACTGGAGGTAGTACTCCTCAAGAGGTTAAAAAATGAAAAAATGTTTTCGCCTTAAGGCGAGTAATAGCGCATTTTCCATGACTAGATCAGTACTTCCCGAAAGGCCATGTATCGAGCTATTAATGTGTGCAAAGGAAAATAGGTCATGGCATAAATATAAAATAAATCCGGCCCGTGTGGCGCAGTTCAGTTGAAGCTGGATTGTGGTGCTAGGGTCCCTGGTTCGAATCCGGGTTCGGGCATGGATATTTGTAAATGTATAGTGGGTTGGGTTGGTAGAGCAGCCTTGGCTGAAACCCCGCCCACTCAAAAATAAAGGCAAAATAAATAAATAAATAACAAACTTATCATTGCGCAATCTGTGCAGTGTGCATGCACACACATGAAGTTTAAAATATACAATTATGTTTGTCTTTACTAAAAGAATCTTTGGTCGAAATTTTGAAAAAAATATCTCTATAAATAAAAAAGCTGACATTGCGCAATTTGCGCATGCGCACATCTGATTTTTACAATATGCGATATGTTTGTCTTTACTAGAAGGAGCTGTGGTTAACATTTCAAAACATATCTCCATAAATAAGAAAGATGACATTTCGCAGTTTGCGCATGCGCACTTTAATCGTCAAGATTTATCTTGGTTGAGGTGCCAGAGCTATTATAAGCTACCGAATGCAAAATAATGAACTAAATATCTTGAACTTTTGGCGCAGGAGCCTAATGAGTCTGTGGCAGTACGGGCAGATGGGAGCAGGAAGGAGATAATGCTTGGATCTGAATACATCTCATACGACCAACCAGGTCTACCAGCCACAAAGGAATTTTAAACAATTAGTGAAAAACTTGGGGATTGTTCTTCGAAGGCAAAAAGTCCTGTGGAGATCATAAGTTTGGAGGAGATCCTCCAAACATATATTATACAGGGTGTTCCTAAATATGATGTAAATACCAGAAGAGGCTCATCCTTTGGCTTAATTTATGATTAAAAGTTCTTAAAAACGCTTCCTTACATCTACAGGGTGATAAAATTTCACCATTTTTTCAGTTTTCTCGCTCAAATTTTAAATATGTTACGCTGACATCATTGGTCATGTATGGTAGTGGAAATCTACAACATGTTTTTTCAGGGATCATGTTCCATTTTCTACCCCTGAACTATTTTCGGCGCGCCACTTGTAGATTGTGAATAAAGAATTTCATTCCTGTTTTGTTTAGAAACTGTTTGGTCTTGTAATTTTCTCGTATTTGTTACCGTAATTGAGAAAAAAAAATAAAAAGGAATTTCCAATAGTTAGCTAAATGAAAGTACAATTTTGTAAATGGTCCCAATAGCACAAGTGCTGCCGCACAAAGCCCAGATTAATCACGATCCATCTGTGTACTAAATTAAAGCTTTATACGAGTATGTCAAAGCTTTTTTGAGATATCGTGTGAGTAGCTAGCTACATTTTTTGCAGTTTTTTTTGTGTTTGTAGTGGATTGTTTTACTTCGAAAGATGTCCAGAGTTCCAGTGTTTTTCAAATTTTTTGGTTTTCTTAATCGATGTTACAACAATTAACTTTTAGTCAATTTAGATGAAGGTAAATGATAGTTACATATAAACTACATTTTTGTAAGTTTTCTAGAATATTAATAACACGTCAAGACACAAAAAAAGACTTACATTGACTTCGGCATGGTCTCTTAGGAATCCAATGGCATCGTCTAACCGTTGTGCTTCGGGAGCGGGCTTCACAAACAAAAACAAAAACACCATGCAAACACAAAATTAACAAACAAAAGACAAACTACCAATATAAAAATTATAATTTGCTAAATAAGAGTGAAAAGAAACGACTACATTGAATAACCTTATTTCCTCTCTCCTACAACGTTAAAATGTGAGTAATTCTCCATTCCAGTTTAATCCTTTTGTGCTTCTGGCGCAGTCTACCACTGCACTGCGCACATGGTAGCACTCACAGTTGAGTTACAGCTGCCCACATGATTGATATGCACTACTACTTTAACACACAAGCTGAAAAGTTCGTCTGATTGTGAGTATAGTTAATGGAAATATTCTGCTGTAAATCCTTTGAAATGTTTTATTTTGATTTTTTTATAACGATATTCAAATTGTTATTGCTATTTCAATGTTTTTTTCTTGTTAACACATCTTGTTCTATTCATTGCAATTTTGTTTTACCTTTGTATTCTCACTTTCTTAGGTGCTTTGTAAAAATGTCACACACTGTATTCATTCTGGTAATTAAAGATTTTTAAGTAAATAACGACGAATTTTCCCACATTTCTCAATGGAAGCAAGTATTTAAAATGTGACTGTGCATTCTTTCTTTTTTGAAGTTATCTTGTTTCTCTACTTAGTGGGATCGGATAGCATAAAAATATTTCAGTGCTGGCGGCGAACATGCCTTTTGCTGATATAGTTTCTGCATATACCAAAGATCAAAAATCGCCCCAGACCCCAAAATTCAGAACCTCTTACCACCAGTAGTGACGTCATCAAATGAAAGATCAAAAAAACTATGCATAGCAGGCGCGGATCTAGGGGGGAGTCACAGGGGGCCGGTGAACCCCCCGTCCATATAAAAATTTACATCATTTTCCCCGATTGGGGGTTTGGCATGGACAACTTTTTACCCCAAAGCGGCGTACAATTTTCGCGCATGAACTCTCTATAAATAAAAAAAATCAACTTAGCGTTTATTTTTTAATTTTGAAAATCCACAAAAGCACTGCCCCCCCCCCCCCCCGAAAAATATGTCTAGATCCGCCACTGATGCATAGACATAGACTAACTTTGTAAAGGACCATATTTTTAGTAAAAATCAATATTAGATATTTGAAGATTCTAATAAAATCCATGCCGTTTAGCTGCTTCCAAAGTGAGCCGACCAATGACAATTGTTATTGTTGACATTAGCCTATTTTGGTTGCGAGTTGTGTTTTGGATCCTGACTGTGGGGTGAAATTGAGCTTTTTAGTGCTCATAGTAGTAAGAGAGCATTTTCAAGGCAAAACATTAGTCTGTACGCTTGAAGAAAGAGTAATATCATCTTCAGAAGAGTTGGATTTATCGGCTATAACACCCTCATGGCATGAAGAAGCGGACGGACGCCTTCTCCTTCACGCTAAGCATGCAGCTGACAATGGCCACGAATCTGTATGCATTCGGACAGTAGACTCAGATGATGTAGCAATTGTAGTATCTGCCTTTTCAAATTTTGAAAATATTCAACAACTTTGGATTGATTTTGGAACTGAAAAAAATGGTAGGTTAAACGGTATCCTCGAGCTCTGTTCTCATTTATCTCAAGAGATCTGTAGTTATTTGCCTATATTTCATTCAGTAACGGGCTGCGATACTCATCACTTTGTGAAGTAGGCAAGAAAAGAGCTTGGAAGGTATGGATGTCATATCTTCCGTTTTGAGCTGCTGCTAATGGGAAGACGCCCAGATGAGGATATGATAAGTACCGTGCAAAGATTTGTGATTGTTTTGTATGATGCAACAACTCCCTTAAACACAGTGAAGTGTAGACGATTCCTTTTTATTAAAAAGAGTAGAGCAATTGAGAATATATCTCCAACGGAAAATGCTTTACTTCAGCATATCAAGCGAGCCACCCTTCAAGCTCTTATATGGAAAAACTGTCTGGAAAAAACTATCAATCCCCTTCTCCCTATGGGGATGGGAAAAAGCTAATGACGGGTTTCGGCCCTTGTGGTTTACTCTACCAGATATAGCAAAAAGTTGTGAAGAACTAATTGCCTGTAGCTACAAACAGAGGTGTACTGTGTGCAAGTGCGTCAAAAATGGTCTTCAGTGTACAACTGTACACAATTGTGCGCATGTGAAGGACATTGTTCTGAGAATTAGTAATTGAATTTGTTTTCTGTTTCAAATGAAAACACTTTTTTTCATTAAAATGTTATACTTTTTACACCAAACTTTTGTTTTTTTGGGAGGGGGAGGGCGGGGGGTAAGGGTGTATTTTTTTTACAAAAAAACTTCACTAAAACTTTAATTGGATATCTATATGCTTAAAATCAGTTTTTTTGTTCCTATTTAGATGACGTCCTCGATTACGTCATTACTGGGGTCGGAGAGGCCGTCTGGGGCTTTTTTTAATCAGTGACATATACAGTATCCAAATCCAAAAGTTCACAATTGCCGCCAACACTGAAATATTTTTATGATTTTTAATGCTATCCGATCCAACTAACTGTTTTTATTTCATTCATAACGTAATTTTTTTCCGATAATCGTTCTGATTTCTGCCCCCACCTCTTTTTCTTATTAGGCGCAGGTGCCAGATTTGTGAACCATTTGCAGAACTATTTTCTATATTTATAGGTGATTCTATCTACATATCATTGCCAGTGGGTTAGTATTTTTTATTCAACTTTGTTCATATTGTCCTTGGTTTGTAGGAGTAAACCGGTTGTATAGTCGAGAAAAAGCAAGGATACTCTTTGACTGACAATAAAATTCTAAGTGCAAAAATAAAATTTGGATCAAAATACCTAAGGTATGCCGTGAACCTCACTTGTGTTGGTAAGTATTTACATTCAAATAACACACATCTTTTATTCCAATTCCCCAAAAGCATTAACTTCAAAATGAGATGTAAGGCTATATTTACCATTGTAACTGCTTGTGTATAATGTGGCGAATGAGGAGTATTGTGATTTCCTATCCATCCTCCGGGCGCAAGTGGTGGGGGCGAACTGACGGGAGTCGAAGGTGCTGAACTGTAACTACTTGCACTGGCCTGTTCGCCAGTTATTGGATAAATCTGAAATTTTCAATTTAAGTTACATTAATAACAGACATTTTAAGATAATACGTACTGTTCCTAAACCTTTACTAACAGTATCCGAGTGAGGATGAGCATGCGGATGGGGCCCCGGAATAAAGGCGGCACTATTTGCTCCTGGTACTGTGGGAGGTGGTGCACCATTCGCTCTAAACGATGACATAGGAGGTAATCCTTGATTTTCAGTCTCAAGTGTGAGTCCATATGAATCATATGTTTGATAAGGTGGCGCATACGAGGTGGGCCAATCGCCCGCTCCATCGGGTCCTAAGTAGTAGTTGGTCCCCCCCGTCGGTGATGCGTAACGAGGTGAATCATGTGCGAATTCGTCCGATCCATACTATAGAACAAAAACAAACATTAGTTTCTATTTTTTTTATTTCACGGGCATAGTTCATAGTTTCACTGTTGATAGTTCGGGCGCGTTACATAAATCTCTCAAAATTTCAAAGAAAATCATGTCGATCTCGCTATTTATACAGAAATTTCGTTGGAAAGACGACCAAACGCATTGCCTCAATTTCCAAGAAGTGAATTTCATGAATTTTTATGTTTTAACGAATAGGATAGAGAGTGGTTAGCTTAAAAAACGCAACGATTATGCTGCAAAATGATAAATATAATTTTCGAGAGAAAATTGCTCACCTAATTAACATTTTCCATACAATAAACTTTCAGATTATTGATCCCAAATTTACTATTAATTACAAGCTTAAAAGCCTTAATTACTTTTTCTACTTTTTCGTTGAAATACCGACGAAAATTAGTTATTAATTTTATGAATGTAAAACATTCTTTAATACAATAGGATGTCCGTATATGTATTCAATTAAGCCGAGGTAAACATTTAGAAAAAAACTGGTGCTTTACAAAGTATAGGTACACAAGATTAGCTAACTGTACTGTTATAATTAAAATACGGGTATATATGACGCATCAATTAAATTGTAGGAAATCAAATTAAAGAAGAAAAGGGGAACCGAATAAAGACATAAATGATGAAATTGCAAAAAAACACAGTCATAAAACTAAAACCCTGAAATAAATCAAGGAAATATGCTGAATGGTCACTGAGAACAACCCAAAGATAATAAATTTCGAGATATTATAACTTCGATACAAATACTGAAGTTGTCTATGTCCGTTAAAATGGCAACTGGTAGAAGAGGGCAGAACCGTATTCGAAATTAATTAATATCGACACAAATCAAAGTTCGTTTTCGTGTTTGAATTTCAAATTGAAGGCCACACGAAAAATAAAATTGCTGGTCAAGATTCTTAATATCATATTAACTACCCTTAAATCAATTTGTTTGCGAGTTGTAACGAAAAAGTTGAGAGATAAAATTAGATAGATTCTAAATAGTAGCTCACTTTATCGAAACTTCCAAGGAATGGCATCATCATAATATTTATAAGATGACTAAGAAAATAAGCAACTTTTATGATTTGGAACAGTTTTACTTCCGCGTTCGATTGTCATCATTACGTATTATTGCGCTTCTCTTTTCCTCCCTTGCCAAACGAGCACGTACGGTAGAAAAATTGAAATTCGACAAATACAAATAAAAAGCCCTGAGTACATTCCTGCAAATTTTCTCCGTCTCGTGAAGGCTGAGATATCAATAAATTTATAGCCCATACGTGAGATATATACATAGATACTTTATCGAGGCGCGGGATAAAAAATGCAGGACTCCATAAAATTTAAAAACCGCCTTCCAAACTGCGCTGAGAATTTTAAATTTCCTCGTAAGAAATGTTTGTTCTTTTTTCTTTCATTTCAGTAAAGTTTTTGTGGGGAAAATTGCTTTTTCGCAATAATTTAAAGGAATTGATATAGCGGTAGAAAAAAAAGCGCACACTCGCCGCGTGTTCGGCTTGTAAGTAAACAATCGTCGCTCATCGTTTTTCATTTATATCAAAAACTATTAAAACTCCAAAATCGAAAAAGATTATCAAGATCTAGTAAACTATGGTTATTCCTCAACCAATAGGTGCGTTTTTCCTAACCAGTACGACTCCGGACTCTTGGATTAAAGTTGCGAAGAAAATCATAATGCTATGATGATTGAACTTTTGTCTCCTCTGTCGTCATCGATGGCTTACTGAAGGAGTTCACAACAATTTCCATCGTATTTTCGAATGCCATATTTGCACATTTAAAATGTTTTTCCAAGAGACACTTACGCACTAAAAAAATACTGTAACGAATTTTCTAGAATGTTATCAAGTTGCCATAAAATCGATAGCAGATTACTCACCGACGATAACGAATAAAAACCGATGTGACATTCTTTCTATAGAATATGATACGCTGACTCGAGATTTTAGTTTCAGTCTTAACATCGATGTCGAAGTGATAAATAACGAAATACGCGCTCGTGTCATAAATCTAACTGAAAGTAAGTGATAACTATTGAATTGTTATAAAAACCACTTTATTTAAGGACCATTACAAATTTACTTTATCGTTTACATTTTTATAGTATTTACCTATTTACGACTACGTCAATGAATTTTTTCATTCAAATATTTTTAATTGTTTACTAATTTCGTCGAGGAAACTGCAAAACACATTGACTTGATAGTCAATAGGAGGTATTGCATTAGGGTAAAAAATGAATTCCGACTGTTTTGACGGAAATACACTTTTTAAAGCACCAGGAATCCGAATCAAACAAAATTTCGATAATGTCGATCGGTCTGTCTGTAGTCTCATTTTCGGTCGAACGGCTGAACTGATTTGAAGTAAACTTGGTACAAATAGACATAAAAAGGCAGAATCGCGCATGCGCAGATGTGCAGGTATTATCTGTGCTAGCCACAGCAAATTTTTGTTTTTTGATTTGAACTCCGACAACAGATTTTTGCACTACCGCCACAAACCAAAGATAGAAACTGTTTCAGAGCACAATTTGTCATTTCTGTCACATTTTAGAGCATACGGTTTTCGATTTTGTAAAGCTTTTCATACAGGGTAAGTATAAAATTTCGGAACATTCGATTACCTCCGTTATTTATGATGAAATTTTTTAAATAATTGGTGTAAGAAATATGAAAGCATTTAATAATCGTAAGGTCTTATTTTTTCGAAATCCGACTTAGCGGAGAATGGCTTTAACTTTTTGTTTTTAAATGCAACACCCTGTATATTTTATTGCTGAAAATACTCTAAAATATTATCTCCATAATAAAGTTGACATTGCGCCGTTTGTGCATTTAATTGTTACTGTACAAGGTGTTTTTTAATGAGATGCTAATATTTAAGGGGATGATTTTTGGGCCCGTTTTAGAAAAAAAAACTTCCCATAAACGTATGTCCAAAACATCTTAACTTTTGAGATACGGGGTGTTAAAGTTTTAAGAAACAATTTTTTTAATTGTCACTAAATATTTTTATGAAGTTGGCGTACGACAACTGTCAAAAGTGGTTATGTTTGTAAAACAAAACAAAATCTGCTTACTAGATCGTTTTTAATTTTTATTTACTATCTAATTTCAACACAGTGTACAAATGAATGAATTTAATTTTTTTATGCGAAAACAGCGAGTCGTACGAAAAAAGTAAACAAATCAAATTTGTTCTAAATTGAATGGAGACTCCACCTTTATTTTAAGAGAACGCAGTGGCGTACCACTTTTTAATTAAAAATATCTACTTAGTCCGAGTCCAGTACAGATGCCCCTCTCTATCAAATGAAACTAATGAAAAGGTGTACTGCCATTTAAAAAAATTTAACTGTTTTTCGTTACTCATTTGTTTTCTGAAATAACAACTGAATGCTGCCTTATTATAGGAAATAAAATGGTAAACAACTTTCATATAGAACAATTTTTTATACATTCGATATTTACTATATTCCATACATAATGGGTACCCTGTATACTACATATTGCTGTGATATTTCGTACGGACCGGTGCACACAGCAATATCTATATCATAAAACATACAGCAGGGTTGAGAGATTTTGATATTATTTTTTAGTATGCTCTTTTAATAAATTTCAATCAAACCTTGTGTTTGTGGTTGCGTAGTACCATCTCAGTTTAGTTGATTGGCGTAATCATAAAACTTGATTGGATAATTATTAAATTTTCACTCCATGACTAATTTCCATTTGTGACAATAGTATGTGATTACCACAGTGATTGACTAATCTTCACGTTTTTTGGATAAGTCATAAATACTCGTAATTTATTGAAATTAGCAAAAATATCCATAACCACCTGGTTATGGTTCAAAGATCGCGTTCCTACGATCCCAAAGATTGAAACTACTACCTAAATTCTAGTTCTAGGGGAAAAACGTCCAAACTAATTACAGTGATACCTGCGACTCAAATTCCAGTCGAGCGAAGAAATTATTCGTGATTTGATGAATCGGTCACCAACCACAAGAGCCGCAAGTTGAAAGTCTTTCTACCGAACAACAAATATGAAAAATGGAGTCACCCTGTAATGGCACTAAAGCATGGTTCCATTTACTATTTTTTTTACACACATTTGGCTCTATAATATACTCGATATTCCTAATAAGATTTCAACAAGAAATGGGGCTGTAATTATCCGGAAGAAGATTTCATATCCTAAAGGGACACAACAAAAAGTGGTAAAAATCGCACAAATAAACGGGCGGACAGATATTGCACCACCAAAAACAATATCCACTAATATACCTGGATAATAAAAACGTTTCGAGGGAAGTGTCTTATCAAAAAATTATCAATCTCATTAGCTTGACTTGTCAGGAAACAATTGTTTTACCAATTGATAACGTAAACTAACGATAATGAGCGGTAATCAGCGGTTGCAATAAAGAAATAATAGTATGACATATAAACTAAAAAAAAAAAAGAATTTTCTGTGTGCATAATGAATAGCAATTTACCGGAAGTTTAACCTAACTGCGTTTGAATAATTTGTATCCTAGACAAATGTTAATAATAATAATAAAATTAAACGCGCATTTCCAACTGCTCCTAACGACGCAAGTGAAAATGTAGGTACATTACGAAATACCTAAGAAGTGAATTAAGGCAACATTCAACCGGTAATGAGATAGGGGTATATAAATAAAATGAATACATAATAAATTAAGCAGAAGATATAGAGAAGGTAAAACTCGTGTTCTCTTCGAGTAGTACTTTATGTTTATTGGTACAAAAAGGAAAAGGATCACCAGCAACCCAATTTACAATTAAGAATTTATAAACAGCGTGGGAAACGGATATTGTACTAGTATAACATGCATGTAATTAACATTGAACATGTAATATACATTAACTTTTTTGTTTTCATAACACGTTCGTAGCTTTGGCTCATTACAGATAATAGAG